CTCTTTTACCATTATTATTGCATCGCATCTCTTCGCTCTTCAAACGTATCTTCATAGTTACGTAAGTCCTGACGTTCGTACTGTCCCATACTTTCCGGGGGTCACGTGAAAATGGAAACACTCCTCAGAGGAGCGACAGTTTGACGGTCAAGATAGTCGTCGAAATCAAAAGTCCAAATTGTATTCGTAAAAAAAACTGATCGCTCGGATTTTCATTACATTGATGAAATGTAGAAGTTAGTATAAGATTCCTGGCATTGTTAACCATGCGTCTAATACTACCGTGCTAAAGAATGAAGCCGTATGAATTAAAAATTTGGATGTTGCCAAATTCCCTTGATACCTACAAAAATTAATTTTTGAGAAAATTCAAGACTTTATTTTCCTGGATTTTTCAGATATTTTTTTTTTTTTTTTATCAAATTGCAAATAAACTTCTTTGAAAAGTTGGAAGAAAAATTTTGACAAGTTTCCCAGAGAGTAATTCGTGTTTTACAAAAAGAAATTTCGCATCGTCTGAGAGCCCATACGACGTTTTTCCTTTGCGCGGCAAAATAGATACTTTTATACGTTCATGCAAAAGACTACATTTTGCAATAAGAATTACTATCTCTAATTCATCCACAGAAGCACCAATCAGCGCAGAAAAAATATCACGTAACTGTTCTTAAAAATAGTGATTGCTTATCGCAAAATGTAGTCTAATTTTGATTTACAGCGCCTTTTACGCAGAGAATAATGTCAACCGACTCATTGGCCGCCACTTTGCTTCCCAGCACTTAACACTTGTTTCCTATTCGCTAAAACGTTGTCCAAATCACCATGAGGAAAAAGGATTTGCAATCCCGTGTGGAAAGACAGGGCCGCAATTTTCCTCTCAATCGATTACTCTTCCCCGCCGTATTCTCCTCTTTTCCTGAGTATAAATATTTACGAAGATTACCACGTAGTTGAAACGTTATCTTGTTTACGTCGTCTCTGTTTGTCCCTGCTTATCCCATCCTTATCTTTAGGCGAAGCTTTCGACATGATGACGGTTCCTCCCAAAGGATGCAAAGTTTAACGGCACCCATGCTACCTGAGATATATAAGGCAGACGGGGAAACCACGTTTTCACATAAAACTTTAAAAAAATAAAATAAAAAAAGCCGCAACTTCTCAACTGACAAAGAAGTTAGTTCGAAATTTTATTTGAAAGCATCCAAAACCTTCAACCTCAAAATTTGGGTTGGCTGATTTTTCTTCTGCGTTATCAAAGGCAAAAATTTACAAAATTTTTGATTAATATCGCACAGTCATTTATTCTTGTGAGAAAAACAAATTATTGTTGGAGGCAATTTTGCAACAATACGTTCCTTCGTCCACAAAACGGCATGACTCTCCCCTTTTTTCATTTCGATATTCTAAAAAACGAGGAAATAGGGATTACCCCACACAATTGGCCTTCGTATCGACTCTTTCACGCATGATAAAACGTGGTTACTGCACTTATAATCATCACAGATTCAATCCCAGCATTATGGCACTTGAATGAAGTAGAGGTGATCACAATTAGATTGCGTAGAGTGAGATAACCAAACAGTTGTTTGCAACAAGCACATATCGACGGTAATACTACCAGACCACGTATCTCGTTTGCGGTGTTTAAAAATCTCCGCTCATATTCTATTTTTTTGAAGGAGATCAAATCAATATCATTCCTTAAAATTTTCACTGAGTTTTTTTCGCACGAAGAGGAAAAATCAAGGAAATTTTCAAGAACTGGCGTTGTGTAGTTTTCCATTTAAAAACTGAAGTATGACGGAAAGTCTGCGACGTCGCAAACCGAGATACGTGGTTTGGTAGTTTAACCGTCGATATAAATGTTGCAATGCTGCTAAGACTGTGCTAGTGCTTACATAATTTGTTGCAAATCAAAGGAACTCAATGCTGATTACTCTCACAGAAATATGAGTGACAAAAGGGTAGTTTGTGGGGGGGAGGAAATCGCGGAAGGGCTTTGAAATTGTTCAGCAGCCAATGCTGCGCCCATTCGCACAATTTTAGCAACAATGCAAAGCGTATACGTACCAGGGTGTCTAGCATCAGGGTTTTCCCGATTCTATCAGGATTTGAGGTCAATCAGGATTTAATCCCGATTTAATCCCGATTTCATCAGGATTTGAGGAGAAATCGGTCGTAAAATCAGGATTTGAGACAAGTCGGCCGTCCGATCGGATTTTTTTTTATGGAGCTATTTTTGTGAAGTTACATTCGCCAATTTTTCTCCGCAATAAATCAGGATTTGGAAAAATTATGAAATCAGGTTTTAGCAGTCAAAAATCAGGAAAAATCAGGATTTCATCAGGATTTTCCAAAATGAAAAAAAACTAGATACCCTGCGACCTTACTTTCTGCAAAGAGCTCTTCGAATCCATCCAACGACAACGACTTGGGTGGCGAACGCTCGATCGCTCATGTGCACATCATAATTTTTTTTTTTTTTTCGGTGTGCTATTGGGGAAAATTCATAAGAGCTACATTTTACAACTAGAAACTACAATCTTTCGCTCACCCTGGAAACATCACATGCGGGGCCTGGAGGACAATACGCATAAGTGCAGTTTTTGCTATTTCGAGAATTACGTGTTTGAAGTTTCAACATTACATGAATCCTTACGGTGGAAAGTAAGTTCAAATCTACTTTTTGATGCTTAAAAATAGGAATTTGGAAGCTTTTGCACAAACTTTGCATCAAGACTAGTTTTACCCTCTCGATTTTTTTCAAAAACTGCACTTACGCGCCTTGTCCTCCAAGCCCCTCATATGTATACCATTAGTTTCCCATTGCATGTAAGTAAGTAAGTAAGTAAGTAAGTAAGTAAGTAAGTGAGTAAGTGAGAAAGTGCATAATTTTAACTCTACTCCCGAGTTTTTCTACAGTATTTTGGGGGAATAACCATATTGTTTAATCACTGAATAGTGTAGGTACTTACCATCGTAGGTTAATCCGTGCCTATCATGAATTTGCTGCTCTTCACTTTTGAATGTGCACGCACTTAAAGCCCCGTATTCATTGACCGCGGTTCGGTGCGCTACTCGCAAGTTTTCAAGTTTCCAAAATCCAACTGGACAATCGGGCAAATGACTCTTCAGTTGTTAATCTTCAGCTGAGATCAGTAATCTTTTTTGAAGTATAAACACTCGATGTATTTGAATGAGTTGCCCATCTCCACACTGCGAGAAGAACTTTGATCACAAGGAATGAACTGCAGTTTAAGTTTTCGGTCGCACAATCCGAACTTTAGTTCAGACAACCGAATTCGGTTTAAAAAAAGAAAGAAAAAAATACTAGCCTTAGTGTGCTTACCGAAAACTTAAATTATCTGCGATGAATGTCGATCCCTATGACCGAAGAATTCGGCTACCTGGATGAAAAATTTCATTCAGTGTTTCGCATGAACCGAAATTTTTGTCTTCGTGAAAATTTCGATGATTTGAGGAAAACAATGAATGTGTCAGCAAAAGTGTCGTAGAAAAAGTTTGATCACAGATGGTAAAGAGTGGTAATAGTTTCCAGGAAATCTTTTAGCATAAAAAACGCATTTTTTGGGGAAAATCAATTTTTCGAGAGACTTGCATGAACTTTTCGACGTAAGCAGCATAAGCGCCAGGGGCATATCATTCGTGGCTCATGGATTTTAATCATCATCCTTCTTATTCTGCGGGTTGATTATTGAAATTTATGGACAAAGCCATAGACAGAGAAGAAAAAGGGAAATGGGACGATCCTCTCGGTTGGAACGAGTGGTTTTTATAGACTAAGGGAGAAAATAAATTAGTTTTTCTACTAAGTACTTACTTCTTTTATCTATATTGCAACCACCCGCTTCCACCAATGAAATCGCTCCATTCTCCCTTTGTTTTCTTCGACTATAGCTTTGTCTATTGAATTAAATTATCAGCCTGCAGAGATGTAAAACAATCGGATAAGTTTTGCATGAAGGTGAAGTGACCGATCAATTTCCTGTATTGTAGTTCCAGAAAGAATGTCCCGATGGTCGCTTGTCCTGGAGTGCTTAAAATCTCACCCCGTTCAGTGGTCCACTGTATTTCAATTCTTATTGCGGCTCGTACTTGGCCACAGCGAATGAAATTAATTTACTGCTGAAATAATGAAACATAAGAAAAAACGAAGATACTGAGAAATCAAAAACTGTAGGACTAATGGAGATGTTGCAAGTGTCAGGAATTTGCGATTTGACCATCGATTCTTATGTAAAAGTTCGCGAGAAACACGATGGTGCCTCTGGTTTTCTCTGAAATCAACTCCCAAGCTCAAAAAAAGCTCTCAAGTTGAGGCCAAAATGGAGGGGATATCCCACGCTATCCTGAGAGTCCACCTCTACATCAAGACAAAATCCATGCGAAGATAGGGAGCAAATACATTAGCAGGGTTGCCGTGTCTTCAATGTTCGAGTCCCCAAATAAAGTGGCATGCAGCCCTGTCAATGTATTTGCTCCCTATCTTCGCATGGAGAGTTTGTCTTGATGCAGAGGTGGACTCTCGGGATAGCGTGGGATATCCCCTCCATTTTGGCCTCAACTTGAGAGCTTTTTTTGAGCTTGGGAGTTGATTTCAGAGAAAACCAGTGGCACCATCGTGTTTCTCGCGAACTTTTACACAAGAATCAATAGTCAAATCGCAAATTTCTCACACATGCAACATCTCCATTGTAAATCTCAGATCTCCTAGGGTGCGTCATGAGAACATCTTCCGATCTGATCTCACCCGAGTCGAGAGCGAAAATCCGGGAAATCCGATGTCATTTACACGTAAACACTGAATCAAAAGCCAGATAAGGAAAGTATGTTATCGATGCAGAAAGAGCACTTGGCGTGAACATGCTCATTTTTATCTCATCTTAATTGATCGGATTTTATGTTTATTAAACTTTTTCGCCGGAGCCTCTCGAGAGGGCGAGGACATGGTTCTTGAGGTATAAGATGAGCGTCTCCGAGCGTTCTCACCCAGTCGACGCCAGGCAGCCCAACAGGTTGTGCACATCTGCCCGCATCTTCGGAATTCGTTTTTGCGCCGTAGCTTCGCATCCCGACCCATCCTTTCATTTTTTTCCCCGAAGGAAAAAATAATAAGAAAGGAGGAGCGCTAGGTTTCCGGCGAGTGCGGTTGACATATTTGTTCGATTCGGCGAGGCGCTGAAAGATTCATCAGTGCTATGCGCGTTAGGGCCTAGGGTGCCGTCGCGTTTTTGTTTGCCGTGGGTGACATGAAAAAAATCAACATTGGTCCTTCCGCCGCGGTCTCGGGCGGTTCCCTCTCTCACACCATGCCTCTCGTTCGTGTATTCGTCGTCGTGTGCGTTACGGTTCTCCTAGCCGATACGATTTCGGCCTCGCCTTTCGACAATATCAAAGTAGACAATTTTAAAATCAAACTGAGCGATGGTGCCCTCAGAGCGCGCCTGGATAATCCTAGCTACCTCACTATGAACAACCAAGATCTGACAGGTACTGTTTCCAAGCAGCATTTTCGAGAATAGTATTGAAAACGTCTGTAATTTTTCGCAATGAAATCTTAGTTTTTCCGCCGTAATTTTGCAATATTTTTACTTCATTTGGTCAAAAATTATCAATTTTACGATTTAACGATTTAAATGATCGGAAGGAAGATAGGCAGTATACAATGAAAAAAGAAAAGAAAAAATGCAACCCATTTAATACAAAATTTCAATAAGAGGAGCTCATTCTGTGAGGAACATTGGAATGAATTTCAATTTTTTCAATGAAATTTGAATTTTTTACAATGATTTTGCGATTTTAACATCCTTTGACCAATAAATGCCGATTTTACGACTTCTTTATCCAAACAATCAGACGAAAGACAGGCTGTGCACAATACAAAAAAGAAAAGAAAAAATAAAACGCATTTCAACTTTATTGTAGGTACAAAATGTCAATAAAAAACCCCCTTTTAATTAGTCGATGAGTAATGTATGTAACACTTAACACGATATGATTACAATATAATTAGCAACTGCAATATGTGCCCCTTGATTTCTTCCTTACCCACAAAGATGTCACAATTTTTCGGAATTTTTTTTTTTTTTTTTTTTTTTTTTTTTACTTTTTAATTTTTTTTATTATTTAATCTGTTTTGTGATCATCATTACTAGTATGACTTCTTATTACTGTAATTACTCTGTATTGTGGAAACTCCAATTTGTCTGCCTTTACTGGGAGTTGCAGAGTAGAATGTATCATTTTATATTATTTGGACTTATTTCTGCCAAACGGAACTATGCGCATTAAGACAGGAGCCTTAAGACCCATACGAATATACGCTTAACAGGGCTCACGTCATGATGCACATAGTTCCGTTTGGCAGAAATACGTCCATTTGTACGATCGCCTCTTGCAGGATCCATGAGCACCTTTTATAACAATGCAACCTTCTGAAACCGGATGGTGGTAGACCTTGGCCCTGATTCCGATTTTCGCATCCGAATCCTAATTTAAAATTTAAATTTCGCGAATTAATCTAATTTTACTAGCCGCCAAAACAGCCGCGTGAACTCTTGCGTGTCATTATTCTTACAGTTTTTTTTTTTTTTTTTTTTAAATTTAAAAAAGACAAAAAATGCCGCACGACACGGTCATCTCAAAATGTCATGCTATATACCTCCGAGGCAATCGCTGTGACCAAGTAAATTATGAACTCTGCCAGGAGGAAATATTTCGCAGTACCTATATACTTCTGTAATTAAACATTTTTTGGTTTCATGGAACAAATTCTTCTCGTTGCAATTTTTAAATTATGTTTTAAAAACTGGAATAGTTCTTTACTCGCCTCTTTTTAATTGTTTTTCTTTAAATAAACAAAAATTTTCAAACCTTCCCTGGTAAAAATTGGCGATAGGAGCTGCGTTTCAAAATACCATAGAAGTTCTCATGGCCGACTAAAGAAGGCTATTGAAAATCATATAGCTGGCTGTAGAAAGCGGAGCAAATCATATAGCCGGGCTATACGAAGCTATAAAAAAGTATACAGTCGGGCTATAGTTCCTATCGCCGGGCTTTACACTTTATCGCCATTGGCTATAAAAGACTATAAGAAATTGTGTAGAAATTCGCGTGCTTTGGCAATCATTAAGTTTGTAATATTTACAAAACACACATTATATTTTCCTTTAAAACCTATTTTTTTTTCCATCAATTAAAATGAGAATAGTCCAAACAGAGTGTACAAACATTTCAAAATCATGAGTTGAAAAACGCTGACTCCGCAGGATTAAATATTAGAGCCTAACACAAAGCGGAGCGGCGACGCACTGGCGCCTACAAACCTAACAGGGATACTTCACGCATTGTGCAATGCGTGAAGTATCCTTGTTAGGTTTGTAGGCGCCAATGCGCGTTTCGCACTCTCTGCCCGCCCGCCGCGCCGCAGCGTGCCACGGCGTCTGACTATTCACACCAGAGGTATTGCACAGTATCATAAGAAATTGAAGGCGCCCCAACATATTAAGAATGACAGGCATCCTTCAAAAGTACGGAGCTTTCATCGCAAAATAAATCAAGATACTACGTTACAAAAAGAGAGCGGTAGTTCAAAAACTAACCAAGTCCTGGTATCCGTATTTAGTAACGTTTAGCATAAACTTTATCGTCTGGCTGTTGCTTAATCGCCATCGGCTATAAAAGGCTATAAGGAATTGTACAGCCGGCTACAGAAGCTATTGGAAATCTTACAGACGGCTTTAGGTCTATGGTATTTTGGAACACAGATTCTACTGCCAATTTTTACCAGGGTTTTTTTGCCAATGAATGTCAATTGCAATTTTGTCCGCTCGATGTTTGATCATGAGATATTCAGTCAAATATAATATCTTCAGTAGTCGGGAACATTCACGCCTTAAAGTTGCGAAACTCCTCCATTTTATGCTGAACTTTTACGATACTTCTTAAAATTTTTTTCACTCATTAAATTGCCGTGCATACCATAGAGCTCTCAATATGAGCTTTAGGAAATCTTGAGGCGATGCTAAGTCAAAGCGGTTCCATGGTGCGGGTCAAAATTCCAACGTTTCTGGAATTTTACTCCTCGTGAACCCAACGAAAATAAAAAATTCGATGACTATTTAAATTAATCATCTAAATTACATTAAGGCGGTTACCTATTCCAGAGACATCATAAACAGATGAAGGAGGTGAGGTTCGAAAACGATTACGACCATGAGAACGGTTCGAAGAGACGCCTAGGGGCATGATGCAACTATTCGTGCTCAAAAGTTGCGCGTGTTGCGTTCAGAAAAAATGAAGGCGTTTACCTAGCCAGCGCGCAGCGTGTCCTCGGTCCTTTCGAGTGTCCGGCGAATCATCGCGCGTTGCTCGCTCCCATCACCAAGGAACGCGAAAGCAGGGACCACAGGCAGCTAAGAGCCACTCTCACCCCCTCCCCTATCGATAGCCTAACAATAAGTGCAAAATCACGTATCTCCACCGCAATGTTTCATAATTTCCGCTCCTAATTTACTTTTCTGAAGAGGAACAAGCCAACTGAATAGCTTGAAATTTTCACAGAATATTCTGCATACAGAAAAGGCGAATCTTGGAAGTTTGTTGTTGTTAAAAATTAATTAAATGTTTATCTATTTCAGGAGAGACGCAATTGCCAATAGAGCTTGGAGTGCAGCTGCCAAGCCGAGGCATCGATCTGAACAATGCCAAGAACCTTGGTGCAAATAAATTAGGATTTGGAGAGCACACAACTCTGGAGCTCAAGAACACGGAAGGAGAGGAGAGATGCGTGGAAGTTGAATGGAGCTCTACAGAAAACCAACCTCTTGAAGATTGTTTCGTGATGAAACCTCACAGCTGGTATGGGGGTGCCGAGCAAACTGATCAATACTGGCCGATTGAGCAAGCTGTCTTCAAGGATTATTCATATGTTACCAAAGAAATGCACAGTATGGCAATTGCTGAACCCTATTGGCTGAATTCCGATGGTTTCATGATCTACGTTGATAAGGTAGTTCCGTTGTTCATAGATCAAAATCATCACAGGAAGGACTCATTCTGTCTCATTGCCAAACATGCTCCGCCGTATTTAAGGAAAGGAGGACCAACTTTAAAATACACCATGTGTAAATTTGAAAATCCTCGCAAGGCGCATGAATATGCAATCCACAAGTTCCTTGGAAAACCGACGGATATTCCCGATACGACAATAATCGAACATCCTATCTGGTCCACTTGGGCCAAGTATAAGATTAACATAAATGAAGCGGTAGTCATGGAATATGCCAAGGAAATTAGAGACAATGGTTTCAACAACAGCCAACTTGAGATTGATGACTTGTGGGAAACATGCTATGGTAGTTTACAATTCAATAAAACTACTTTCCCAAACATGAAGAGATTGGTCGATCAATTAAGAGGAATGGGTTTCAGAACGACAATTTGGGTTCACCCTTTCATAAACCTTGACTGCGAAGTGCACAAAGAGGCACAAGAGAAAGGATATTTTGTGAAGAATATAGATGGGAATACGACAACCAACTGGTGGAATGGTGTGGGAAGCTATATCGATGCTACAAATCCAGCTGCCGCCGAATGGTACCGAAAGCGATTGCAAAACGTTTTAGACACAAGTGGAATTGACTCCTTCAAATTTGATGCTGGAGAGAGCAGTTGGGTGCCGCAGATCCCTGTTCTAAATGGTCCAGAATTGGAGCAACCTGAAATAATCGTTCAGAAATATGTTGAGCTAGCTGCGAAGTTTGGCTCCATGGTTGAGGTTCGTGCGGCGAAACGCACTCAGCATTTACCTATTTTCGTTCGTATGATCGACAGGGAGTCTCTGTGGGGATACAAACACCTTGGCTTGCACAGTGTCATCACTGCAACATTTCAGATGAACTTAAATGGATACCCATTCGTCTTGCCAGATATGGTCGGAGGGAATGCGTACAATGGTGATAAAGTCACAAAAGAAATGTTCATTCGCTACTTGCAGACGAATGTATTTCTACCAGCCATCCAATTCTCAATCCCTCCCTGGGATTATGATAAGGAGGTCAGTATGTAGGTTTACGTACGGATTATTTCTTTTCCTCTGCAATTTTTTTCATGTATTTTCAATTCAATTACTAATACCTCACTAACTTGAAAAATAGCACCACATACTGGCTGCCTTTTCCTGTATAATCCTCAAGAATAGTAGCATATAATTAATATTTTGTCAGTATGATAACAATATAATTAATATTTTGTCAGTATGATAACAATATAATTAATATTTTGTCAGTATGATAACAATGTGTACATAACACTGCAAGTTACAGGATGGAAGAATAGTAATGGGTGCACTTTATTCTGTGGGGAAATCAAAGCCAAAAAATTCAAAAATCATTACTAGAGGTCAAAGTGAGCTCTAATGAGTTTCAGTTCTAGACTGAGGGAGAGAGCGTTCAGCTGAGGCAGATACACAGAAATTATCTGGGGTCACCCGAGAGATCTAAACCGATTTAGGTCTGTTTCGACCTCAAGACCTTTTGGCACAAGAGTGCAATCCATGGGCTACTCGTTTGCGGTGTCTGAAATATCTCTGCGGTGTCTCTGCCTTTTTTTGAAGGAGAACAAATTAACATCATTACTTGAAGTTCATGCAGAATTTTTTTTGCACAGAAAAGAAAAATCACGGCAGTTTCAAGAATTTCGTTGAGTTGTTTTCTGTTTAAAAAATTAAGTATGACAGGAAGTCTGCGATGTAACAAACCGAGTTATATGATTGTCGACTTACACTGTCGTTGTATTCCAATGCATCAGTCTGAGCTGAACGCTCTCCTTCCTCTCTGTCTTACGTTACAACTAATTAGAGGCCACTACGTGACTCCAGTTATCATCTTTGGATTTTTGGCTTTGATTTCTCTACGAATAATGTGGGCCCAGCACTATTCTTTCATCCTGTTACTTACAGTATTCGGGCCACATTTTTAGTGTTTTTTGCCTTATACTACATAAGAGACTATACAGGTTAAATTTCACAACTGCAGATTATAATTCGTTGAGAACATGCAAAAAAAAGCTATACCACATTCTCTTGAAACCCACATCTGACACACCTTAAAACATTAATTTTTTACCAGTGTTTACGAAGAAAATAGTTTTATGGTGTATTACAGGTGAAGAAAAATTATTTTAGCTTCGGTTACCTTTTCTTTGCAGACTGTCCAGCTGAGTAAAAAATACACTAGCCTTCATTACGAGTATGCTGGTACAATCGTCGCCTTAATGAAGAAAGCTGTGCAAACTGGTCAACCGATCAACACCCCAATTTGGTGGGTGGATCCTACCAACAAAGAAGCTCACGGAATCAATTCTGGTTAGTTTTAATTTGCTTATTAGAGGCCACCTCATTACATCTTCGTAACCTGATTTTATAAAGAACATTTTTTAAAAGCAGACTTACTTGAAGACTCACAGTGTGTGTATGGAAGGAATTTCTCATGAAAAATTGATGACTGAGACCACTGTTAAAGTGAACCAGGGTTCGATTAGGGATAATTCAAGATTATAGATAGCGCCACCAGTCACCACTGAGAATTTCACATTCCTTCGACGATTACTGGAATAATATTGTTCAAATTCCAAGAAGTAGATCCGCAAGATATAGATGATTTTTTGCTTGATTTTTTGAGCCAAAAATACTGGCAATTAGAATTACAAGCGCAGAGAAAGTACGGCTGACACTTTCAGCTCAGCGGCGGCGGTCGAGCGCGCAACCAAATCCCCCATGTTCTGTCTCTCTCTCTCCCATTGCCGCGATGGGAATTATTTTCCGCCATAGTTACGACCTTATTTTTGGGAATTTTGAGAAGATTTTTTTACTGATTGTTCCTCAAGTATGTTGCTATATCCCCTAGATCCCCAATCTTGAATATGTATTACGGTTTTTATTATTTCGGCAAATATGTACGGCTATTCTGAGCAGTGCGACATTGTGGCCAAATCGCGAAGTTTGAAGCCTGGATTCACCTTAACCTGTACTGAGATAACGATCGTCAATATGTTGTCACCTTCTGTATCAAAAAGTCGACTGTCAGGAAAAACTGGAAAATATCAGGAAAATTGGCCATTGATCAGGAAATTCTGATTGCGTCAAGCATTTCTCTACTACATCCAGTTTAGCTCATGCACAAAGGAGACATTCAATTCAGTTTAATATACATGTCGGTTTGTGAAATGAAACAAGTGTCAATTTATTTGCGCCAAAAATCAGGAAATTTCATTTATTCTCTCAGGAAAATCCGAAATGAAATTTTAGAACACACCCTGATGTTGTGTATTATTCAGTTTTGTGGACGACTGCTTGATGTAATTTTAACTTTTTTTATGGTTTCAGAATATATGCTTGGTGAGGATATCCTCGTTGCCCCAATTGTGGAACAGGGAGCAGTTAGCAGAGACATTTACTTGCCAAAAGGTCAATGGCGAGATGAAGCCAAAGCTGATCGACCTGTCCACACTGGGCCTGTTTGGTTGCGGAATTACCCTGCTCCTTTGGATACCCTACCCTACTTCACTCGGGTCTCATCTGGCGCTGGGCAAATTTCTGTTGCTATTCTATTACTTGTTGGTATTTCTTCCCTTCTGACAATTTTCCGGTAGTGTCAACCTCTCTTTCTTGACATCGAATATTTCCATGTTTCAATGTAACTTTTCATGACCGTGTCGGAGTTGGACTGGACTCTTAAGATAAACTGATGAGATCAAGTTGTCCTATCAACTTCTGTGGTGTCGTAAATTGTTGTTCTTAATGTTAATTTGTATTGTGTCTTGCAGAAGACAAAGTTGAAGTTCACAGCTTTTCATAAAGCAAATGAGTTCCTTAATTTTGATAAGTTTTAAATAGTATTAAGTGCAAATTGCCGTTTCTATTTTTTTATGAATTTGATCTATTTTTTTACATTAGCTCAGGAGTATAGGGTATCCTGAATTGTTGTTAAGTAGATCGCCCCGGGAAATCATGACTTTCCAGAGGACACATTTCATGTATCCCGTTCAAAAAATATCCAGCCAACTTTTTACTGCATGTATAAGTAATCCATCTTAATTCTCTATTCTATTATTTCTGCATGATCTGGCAAAGGATCGTGTCCATGCAAATCAGTAAATGAATCTTTGGTGTTGAGACCTTGTTTAGCTCTCAAAACCAAAACCAAATGTTTCTAATTAAAGGTTGAAATTACTCCAGCAAGAATTTTGATAAGTAAATTAATGAAAAAATATAAATAATTGGATATTTTGAGGATGGATGTTACCGTTTTAAAAATATTAATCATATGTATTGCATTTATCAAGTTTAAGACTGCATGAAATTTAAGTCCTTTTCATACAGTAAAATTTGAGGAGTAAAAGGAAGATCTCAGTGCTTATAGTGTATGTAAGTATACTTGACCTCAACATCCAAGAATCGTTTTAAGTTACAAATGAACTATTTACTTTTTATTAATTGAAGCAGGAAAAAAAATGAAAGGCTCTTCTCAATCCCCAAGGAAATTAATGTGTCCCAATTTCGCACCATATTCTTGATCATAGCCAGTAAGATTTTAAATAACTGTTAGTAAAAATTAAGTGAATAATGGTCCACCTATGTAGTACAACTGATGCTGTGGAGTAAACAACTCCTTGTTGTATCAACCCTATTTATGTGATGTATACTTAAAAAACACGGTTTTAGTATCATTTAAAGCGGTTCTCCAGTTCTCAGCAGATTTTTCTCAAGTGCCTGCTAATACATGTTTTAAGTTTCACAGTTTTCTGTTAGTTTTGTAGAAAATTTTAGCCTTATCTGTTTGTAAAAATGTCAGCTTATCCTTTGAAATTTTGAAATAAGGTTCTTGGAGTGTGATAGAATAAAAGTCATTTTTAATGTTTTTTGTACAAAAAATAATGATTCTCAGTCTTGACTTATTATTCTAAAACTATATCCTCTACCTTCCAAAGTAAAAAGCAAATATTTTTCCTGCAAAAACCTCCATCTCGGGGCTCATCATTCCACTTCTGAAAACTAGTCTCCTTAATATGGCACCAAGATCTCATCAAATCCGATCAGAGCAGTTTTAAAAAAGCTAGGAATTGAATTATTTATTTCTCTTCTCATCTAAGCTGCAAAAAAGCTGAATCCTCTCTCAGATTGTAAAGATCTATTTAGCTGATGTCAAAAAAGATTTGCAGCCAAGTTCCAAAAATTTAGTTGTTTACTTTTATACAATCAGCCCAAACAAAAAATGCAGCAATACTGGGCCCAAATCTTGTTGGTTTACGGCCGACCGCAAGTTGAGAACCCAACCTCAAAATCTGACTTTAAATTGCAATAATTATATTCTAAACTCAAGCTGTGCGCAAGTTGAGCTTTATTTACAGCAGGGTAGAGCCATCCTTAGTTTCCTAACGGTGCAAACCGTTAATCAGCGACCGAATAACAAAGTCAACATCCTTGCCTGAACTTGCGGCCGATGGTAACTGTGCCAACAAAATTCAGGCCCTGATTACTAAAATTTGCCGATTAAAACTAAAGCATTCGTCATTTTTCTTTATTTCTAAAATTTATTATAAAAAATTGGTTTGAAAAGAATGAAAAATTACACAACAGTAAAAAATAAAATGATTTCAAAATATTTCAGGATTGTCAAAACTTAACTGTAACAAAAGTTCAATGAAGAGTATATACATTAGTGTATTGGAGTTTGTTTAAACACAAGTATAAACAAAGAGTGTCATTCCTGACAACAAACCTCAAGATAAAATTCTAAAAAACTTGATGAACAACGGGAAAGGTAACATTCGAGATAATTCGACACATTAAATCATAAAATAGCCTTAGCATCACAGAATTTATATGCTTTAAATTGACAAATCTTCTCTCCGTCTTTGTACAGATAGCCTTTGAAGCAGTCTGAACAAAGGTAAGAGGGATCATTAGGTAGTCTCTCACAATCCTGAACACACCATCTGAAAAAAAAATGAGTCAATAAATTAGGGTCTTTACTGTTTCCTGCCAATATATTCAAAATAACTATCTTCTCATTCTCATGGAATTGTTGAGGTGTACTGAAAAATTTGGAATTTCACAGTCAAAGAGATGGACTGTTCAATTCATAAATGAATTTTGGGCTGAAAAGTTAATTTTAAGTTATTGTTCTATGACAAATCGATGGAATAACTCCCAAACCACGTATCTCGTTTGCAGTGTTTTAAAATCTCCGCCCCCATTTTATTTTACTAAAGGAGAACAAATCGACATCATTTCTTGAAGTTTCCACAGAATTTTTTTCGTACAGAGTAGAAAAATCATGGAAGTTTTTGAGAATTGACGTCAAGTAGTTTTTCACTTAAAAAATAAAGTATGACAGGAAGTCTACAATGTTGCAAACCAGGATACGTGGTTTGGGAGTTTCACTGCTGAAATCTAATGTTCACTTAGTCTGAAAGCCGAATTTTTGCAGATTCCCTGACGTTTTCCCTGATTTTCTTAACACCCGAAAAAAATTTCCTACCGTTTCCAGGTTTTCACGGTCGCTAGACACCCTGCAGTTACGTTTTAAATGGAACAAATGAACGGAAATGATTTATTGCGCTTTGAGTAAACTTACTTTGCAATTAAACTTCCACAAATGTTACAAAAACGAGCTCTTGAAGGGCAAATGGCTTCATGTAAAGGATATAGATGAGAAACTCGAGGATCATAAAAGTGAATCAATCTGAAACATAAAATGAAAAAAATTTGCGTTTAAAGTCTAGGGGTACAAGAAATACAAATAAATGAAAAGAAAAGAGGGTGAAAATAACTCTCTGTTTTTCGAGTTCACGAAGGGCACATACCTTTGATTCGAAGCAAATGGTCAGCTGAACAGATCATGTGAGCATATTCTGGTTGTATCTTAAAAATTAGTGAAGATAATAAAATTATTTGAGCATCAAATTTAGAAAATAGGGTGTCTTCAAATCTTCAATCAACTGAGTCTTTCAATATTCCCCTATTTTTTGCATTAGCACTTCAGTGGATCTTTTTTTAGGTACATTGCATGGTACAAAACTGTGTTCTGATAATTTTTGCTTAAACTTTGGCAAAAAATGGCAGGATCCATCCAAACTAAAAGTTTTGACATCCGACAAGAATCTGTAGATTTAAAACTCTGGGGCTTTCTTTCTTTGCTCTCCTTCACGAGAACTACTGAATTGATTTACTTCAGGTCTGTTTAAAATGTGAAAGCTCTATACTTTACTTTCAGACGTTCCAGCACCCTTTAATTTTTCAATTTTCACGACCAACGTTGCAAAATTTCCGATGATTTCAATCAACACATTTTCCAGTCTTCTGCTGAACAGGTTGTCAGTATTTAATCTCAGGAACTACTTACTGGACTGATTAATCTTGGATTTGTTTTGAATGAAATCTGTGGATTTTTAGACGTGCCACGTCCCTTTGTTGGTGGATTTTCATTATCAATATTGGAGATGTATATACATTTAATTTAAAATAGTCTATGCTTTGAGGTTTGCTTTTTGTAATTGGAGAAGTTTTGTAATATTCGCAATACAAATCCAGAGACTAAAGTTGGCAGGCTTTAATGCACATCAAAAGCTTCTATTAAAAATAAATTATCCCAAGTAAATAGATGGGTACTTCCGGGGAACTAAAAAAGACAAGCATCTTAAGTAAATTAAATTGGTATTTTCAACCAACTTTCTGCATCGTTTGTTCCCTAGAGCAAAAATGAGAGGCTATTAAATGCTCTTGGTGGATCTTGGAGAATTTAAAAAACCAGCTTCTTTTCAATTGACTAGGAGTACTTCTACCATTACCCTGAGATCAAAGTGAAAAGAAAACAAACCTTGCATTTTTGAACACTATTATATGTTCACAGATTCCTTGGTGCCGGTACACATAGGGGTGTCCTAATTTAAGTTGAAGGTCTATGAAAAATGATTCCTCCATTGATCTTGTTTCACCAAAAACAATACCATTTTTTTCTCCATACTCTCTTATGCTTTCACTGTAGTCTTTACAGGCAGCCTCCCTTGTATCAATGTAGAAATTATTGCCGAAGTAAAACATGGCTGAAGGATATTTTGCCTGTAAAAAAAGGAGGAAACAATCATCGTTAATGATTATTGTGGTATACAGTGAGGGCTACATTTTGCAATCAGCAGTGCTTGTGAAGACATGAAAATCAATGAGAAACATTATGTTCAAATTCTTATGTAAAGATAATTGACTTCTAATACAAGATCCGGCTGAAAAGTAACGCCTCCAAACTCATAACTTTGGAACCGTCAAAGATTTTGGTAAAAACCAAAGATTTTCTAAAAGGAGGCGTAATTATCTTCCAAGCGATTTATTGGTTTGCAATGTTGAACAATTTTTGATGTTACAGCGTTGCCAAACTTCCGATATGTTCTCTTCGACATGTTGAAGGGAAATCTTACGGATGGCAAGTTATAACTCTGCCTTGCTAAAATTGAACGAATTTGAGATGAGCTGAACAAGCCAAGAAAAAAAAAAAAAAAAGTACATTGTTTTCAAGAGCACCATAGAGTATCCAAAATAAATTTACGATTCATCTTTTTATATACTCTCCGTTAACTTAAACACATTTCTGCAAGTGTTTGAGTGTTGTTGAAATCCAGTCTAAAATAATGAATCAGGGTGATTTAGAATCCTCTTTGCGACTGCGGCTTTGACTTCGGAGTCCGATTAGAATTGAGTGCCTTTAAGATTTCTATTCAGGTTCAGAAAAACCGAAAAATCACAAGGAGGCAATGTATCCTTATTTCTGGCATTAGCAAGATGCCAACTAGAAAACCCATTTATAATCTGGACGTGTGCTTTAGTTTCTTCAGAGATCACTTAGAGATCATGTTTAGAATTATCAGACCTACTAATCACAGATCAAACAATGGACGAAAATGGAAAAGAAAACTTGAGGAGAAATTAAGGGAGGTTTATAAAGCACTTGCAATATAATTACCCTGCTTTGGTGAATTCCATCATTGTCAAAAGGATTTTCACTGACATCACCCTGAGTATCGTTGAAATCTTCAACACACAAAATCGCATCCCGCAGAACATCTAAAGTTTGTGAGCCGAGCACTAGTAGCTCTTGAGACACTCTTGGCCTCTTGTCGACAATTTTGTTGAATTTCCCATTATAATGCTTCACGCTACTGTAAGGTGCATAGATTAGAATTGTCATGACAACGTCATCACTTGCGTGCATATCACGATTTAATAACTTGTGTTCATCCTGAAACAGATGGATGGCAAATTGATATTACCTAATCAATGGTAGGAATTTGGAGAAATCAAAAAATTTCTTCATTGGTCTCAATATCGACGGTGAAACTACCAAACCACGTATCTCGGTTTGCGACGTCGCAAACTTCCTGTCATACTTTATTTTTTAAATGAAAAACTACTCAACGTCCAGTCTTGAAAATTTCTGTCCTTTTTACTCTTTGTGCACAGAAAATTCTGTGAAAATTTCAAGGAATGATATTGATTTGGTCTACTTCAAAAAAATAAAATGTGAGCGTAGATTTTTAAACACCGCAAACGAGATACGTGGTTTGGTAGTTTCACCGTCGATATTCTCTTAATCAATAGCAAAAATTCCCTATACGAGCTCAGGAGGATTACTTACTTTGTCTTTGAGACAGACATGAAGTCCTAATGTCTAGGTTTTTAGGACACCAGTTACAATTTTCTCAAGATGCTTTTATAGCACTTTCAAGAACAATTACGGAGTTGATCAATCTACTGATAATTTCTGAAGTTTTAGACTTTTTTTGGTAAACCCTAAAAAGACACATCAAAAGGCAATGCTACTGAGACAGCAATTACTTTCATACAAAATTTGATTAAGAAATCATTTAGTTAAGCAGCCTGACTGTTAAAATTTTAACTGGCTTTCTCGGTAAAATTAGACAAGATGTAGTCATATCTGCGCCAGGCAATATATCGATTTTTGATTCTTGTCGACATATATTTCAACAATCAGGCTGCTGCTCTAGAGGTAGGTATGGCCATTTAATTTTATCATTAATAATACTAGATGCATGAAAGGGTAAGAAGACTTTCAATTGATTCTTGAAAAATGTATTTCAATCCAGAAATTATTGATTGATTGATAGACTTCCAAATCATTTTCAAAAAAACTGGATCCACCTCAAGCAAAAGAGTACGACTGGCTAGTAGGAAGAATCTAATTTAAATATTAGAGATAGCTGCGGACATCATCTTTACTGCCATTTCTTTTTTTTGACCAAAACTAAATTATACTGAGAAAATGGATTTGTGGTGTTAGTTGCAGGGTTATGTTTTGATGGTTTATGCTTTAAGATAAAAAAAAATTAACAAAATCTCTGTAGATGCTGAATTTCTACATCAAATATTGACAGAGATATCACCTGTACAACCACTACAGTTGAGCATACTGTGGTTTCTGGCACCTTAGTTTCATATTTTTTTCATTTCAATCAAACAGTGCCAACGCCTATTACTAATTGATAAACCTAAGGGGGTAGAAGCTATGATATGCACTACTGCAGTGGAAGACATCATATACCATGTTTTTCAATGAGAAATATCTCCCTTAATATTGGACGTTGAAACGTCACATTCGAACAGATCTTCTCAATTTTTTCTGATCTTTAAGTAAATATACTCGAACCAGCAAAACTTAATTCTAGGAGCAGCACAACTGGCCCATTGCTTTTTGATTGGCTTTTTGGTTGCTTTTTTTCTGATAATGAATAATTTGTCAACATCATGATGACTGTCAGGCAGGACTTATCAAAGCAGCAGCTCAAAGACTGGTTGATGTGACAAGAGGAGAGGGGGTACTTACAGAGAGGGTAATTTTTCTCCCACGGTATTTTGAGGCTCTAACGATTTCTTCCTGATCTGCTTCACTCCTGGAGAGCACACTTTGGACAGTGCGTAAGCAGCAATTTTCCGGAGCAGGTATCTTTTCATACAGCTCAGGTCTTGTGTATAGCGGTTCAACATCCATCTTTTCTACAGGATTTGGTGGATCCAATTTATCGATACTAAAAGGAGAAAAAAGTGAGAAATATTGATGGTGAATCTTAGTAATATTTATTCTCTTATGTTCACTCCTGTCTCATTTCTGACTGTAACTCTGATCATGGTTTTTTTCTTCCTAGGTCTAGGTATCTACCACAAAACCACATGAGCTTTAATAACTGGTCTAAAGTCAACAGAGAGGTTGATAGAGATGAGGTACCCAATTGAGTTTATCATGAGTAGAAGTCATGGAGAGTAAGTCAGCTCACATATGAAATAAATTAGGTGACCGACTACCTTGAGGGCTTTTTTTTATCCGTGGAACGCATGGTACGCGATGATAGCGGTTCGGGCTGGTTCAACCAGCCAGAACCAACCTCAACCTACCTCGGAAGAGTGGTCCTAGCGTTCCACTGGAACACATGGAACGCACTAGAACGCGCCGGTGGAATGCGATAAAAAAGTGATGCGTTCCATTGCAGTCCAGAAAAAAAAGCCCTTTGCTAAACACATTGGATTTCAGAGCGAAAATGAAGACGGCAGATCTTCAGCACCTCTGTTGCTCTGAAAAGGTTGGAGAATGAATTAAACATGAGCGGAAAACGCTGATACGTATGTTAGAAAGAGGGCTTTCACGCTGTCGCTACTCAATGTTGGCTTAGTAGGAAAAAAATTTCAACAAACCTGCATGTGTGTGCTAAAATGTTTTCTTGCTCCTCTGTAAATTTGATTAAATTAGAAAATGCATGTGTTACACCAATCTCTCCATCAGGACCATAAACTTTGGCAATTTCGGATTTATATTCAACAAAATAATTTTTAAAGTCAATTGTTGAGGACACAGAATCACCAAGGAACTTGCGATACACTTTCTCCATTAGCGCTGGAAAGAGGAACTTTTCAAAAGAAAGAGATACCTATATTCGGTGAAAACGAGAATTTTGGATGCAATATTCAGTATCTTAGTTCAAAAATAAACAATGTTAATTGACCTATACTTCGGAGTAGTCATGACAATCAGTGCACTGCAAACTGCAAGTAAAAATGTTTCAGCTTTCAGCAATGTTTCAGCACTACCGTTTCAGTATCACATTTTCTGTTAACACACTATTTTCTAAACAATAACATAACCTCCCTTTAAAGTGCTTTGTTGCCGTGTTTTCAAAATTAAACAAATTCCCGAATGATTCAATTTAAATTAAATCAGTCGTTGTGCCTCTTTCAGTCTTTCTTTTCATTTAATTGTTGTTACAAACTTAATTATTTTGGATTTATATTATATCAATCAATTGCTCTCGTTCAATCTTTAAATTTTAAATGAGAAAAAAAAAATAAATTGTTCCATCTGGAAACACTGTAATTCCGTGTCTATGTTTACCTTCGCATCGTGGGCCGCAAAGTTGCAAGCTCCAAGTTATTTTTCAGAGCCAGAATCAGAATAACTATAGAGTTCCTTGGCTGGCGTATGATAGTTCTGTGAAATTGAGTGAATTTTTTTCAATGTAATCTACAGTCTCCCTGTCATCTTGATAAGAGCTGCTTTCGGTTCGAACAACAAATCCATAGCCACTATGGACCAAGTATCCAAGCGTGAGTGATTTCAAACTCTTGTATATGAATTTCATTCTTAGAAGCGCTCCATCTACCAGAGTACATCATTATCAGCAACGAGCTTGACCAGAACTTCCAAATCTTTGCACCATTTTTGTATAAAGTTAATGTCCGTACGATGTGTCATGTCAGGCTAAAGACATAAAAACTGAATGGAAGTGCTAGCAGCAGAAAGTGAAGCTGAACTTTTAGTTGAATCGATAAATTCGAAGACCCATCCCCAAAATTTTGTCAGTTTGGGTTTTCTAGGGAGCAGATGGACAGGTATATCAGTTTCTGAACACATACAGCTAGTTTTGCCACGGAACATGCTTTTTCAGGGGGTCCCATTTATGATTAATTTGGAAAGTATTCTATTTCTTGGAAGATGGTCTTCTATGTTCCTTTGGATTTGCCAATCATGCAAAGTAAGAAAGGAAACTGCTCAGTAGTTGCACATAGCAACCAGACCTTGCATCAGGCAAGTTGGCAGATGTTTAAGTTTGACTGATGCGCAGTAGATTCAATTACGTTTTCACGCACAGCGTTGGTGTTGCCAGTGCTCAATCCTCAATGGCTATCGGACAAGTGCATAGTTGCTTGCTAATGAAAATTAAACAACTGCCAACTTATGTGACGTAAGCCCTAATAATATTGTTGCCTTCGTAATTTGCCTTGTTAGATGGTTTTTCACACGATAATATGACCTCCACTGGCATAGTACAAACCCGAGGATGATATTCTTCAAGAAAGAATTCTGAATAATTGAGAAATCTTCATTTTCAAGCAAAAATTATAACTTGCCCTCCATTAAAAGAGAATTTTTTAAAACTTGAAGCAACGAAAGATTGAAACCCTTTTAACAGAAGACACTTCTAGCATATCTTAACCAGGAGACTTGTCTATCAAACAATAATTTGTTTTATACCTAATTCATTATAATTGAAAGTGTTCTCTGTAAGTATGGTAAAAAATCACACTCTGATAAAAAAAAAATGTATTTTCTTTACTTCCAGATGAAGTTTCTGCAACCAGCCTTGGGGGCGACTGCACTTATGAAATTCCAAAAAAATGTATCTTTTCTGAAAAAGATATGAAGTCTTGGGAATCAAGTGAAGCCTACGATGTAAGTTTTTTCACCCTCTACTACTCACTAAATGTCTAGACTGATCATCAAGGAAAACCAAGGGGCTAATTATCCAAACATCTAATTAATTTGATACTAATTATTAAAAATAAATTACCTTGGAATAAAATTGAGATATTCAAAAAAATGGAAAAATAAAGAGAGATAGGTACAAAAGTGAACAATTTTTTTAATTTCGTCATAAAGACCAAAATATAATATTAATAGTTGACACAGTTTCAACTGTTAAATTCTTCTTTATTAATTTATCAACATTTGATAGTTAATGGAGTTCTTGCATGTGTCAGGAATTAGTAGTGCGAGCAACTTTGCTCGTGTAAATTTTTGCAAGAAACATGATGATGCCACTGGTTTTCTCTGAAATAAACTCCCAAGCTCAAAAAAAGCTCTCAAAGTTCTGGCTGTAATGGAGGGGATATCTCATGCCTTGTTGAGAGACCACCCCTATTCATGCTAATGATAACATCTTTTTTCATTTTCAAATTACTTTTTTGAAGCATTTGCATTATTTCATGCCATTGGCTGGTGTATGGTCGGTAAGTTTTGGCACCCCTGTTTGATGGAGCAGCTCAATTTAGGCATGCAGTAGCAAATATTAGACTGCTATTGACGATACTCAATTCTAATTGTTTTCATCCTCATCTTTTAAAGGACTATTTTGGATTCATCAAAGCTATGAATGAAGCCTCAAAAGGCAAATCCTTAAAGATTGATTGTGAAATTTCCGAGATGACTCAAGGAATACTCAATCTTCTGAGCACTCTTGATGAATGGATTGATCAGACTCCGCCAATTGAACAACCCCAACGGTTTGGTAACAAAGCTTTTGCACTATGGTACCAGAAGTGTAAAGAGGTAAATATTGGCTCCATAATCATCAATCCATTGGTTACACGCTGCATCACTATGAGACTGCAGGAATGCATCTCTTGGTTTGTAGCATTGCAGACCTCCTGTCATGCTTTATTTTTAACATAAAAAAACTACGAACGAACCGAAAGAGTCGAAAACAAACGAAACTAACGGAAAAAACCGAGGTAACAAACTGTGAGCTAATTAAATGAGAAAACAGAGAAGAATCGGAAAATTAAAAAACTCAAACTCACAAAATAAAATTAAAAAGCCGACGCGTTTCGGGACACCTCGGTCCCTTCTTCAAGGCTAAATTCCGACTGCCTGTTGTTGTTTACATCCTGCTTGGTGTGGAATCTATCAGTGCTGCCAATCACTTTGAGCAAACAGTTTTCCAGGCATTCCAAATCTAAATTTACCAACTTGTCTCTCTTTTTGTGCATTTCCATAGCTTCCAAGATGTTCAGCTTCCTTCTATCGTTGCATCCAATTAACAGTTTCCCTTCCTCTTCGAACCGATGTCCTGTCTCAAGATTATGCAAAGCTACTGCTGACTTGTCAATTTCTCTGTTCTTAATACATCTTTGATGTTCTTTTATTCTTACTTTCATCTTCCTTCTTGTCTGCCCAATGTATTGCTTGTCACAGTCTTTACATTTCAAACTGTAGATGCCAGCCCTGTCTTCTTCTCTAACTTGGTCCTTAAGATCACCATGGAACACTGATTTCAAATTGTGCCTATTAACTGGAACTGCTTTTAGGTGATACTTCAGAAACACTTTTTTAAACTTTGAAAAATGGTTTGGATGGTAGCAGATCTTCACAAAGGCGCCTTCATCCTCTCTTATACTTTTAAGAGTGGTCACTTCCTGAACCCTTTTGCGAAATTCTTTTTTACGAATTTCATAGAACACAGAGAATGTTAGATGATGGTGACTTTGTTCAAGTAATCAAGGATCCTACTAACGACATAGCAAAGAAAGTGAGCAACGCCTTGAAAGCCGTCACAGTGATGGATGACAAAACTAAAGCAAGATTGAAAGCTTCTAATCCGGTGACACCTAAACTTTACACCTTACCTAAAACCCACAAACAAGGGGAAAAGATGAGACCCATTGTTAGTAACATTGATTCACCAACTTACAGCCTCGCAAAGTGGTTAAATAAAAGTTTCCTGCAGCTAGGACCTATCAATAGTATGTCGGTCAAGAACAGCAACCAATTCATCAATGAAGTTCAAGACACAAAAATAAGTGAAGATCAGGTAATGGTTTCTTTTGATGTTGAGTCACTCTTTCCAAGTGTACCGATAAGGAAAACCCTGGATATTTTAAAGAAATGGTTGCTGGAAAAAGAGCTAGATGAAAAAATTGTCAACAATCTTGTAAATCTAACAGAAATTTGCACCGAAAACCGGTTTTTCCAGTTCAATGGTAAAATTTATAAACAAGAAGACGGTCTAACGATGGGCAACCCTCTATCCCCCTTCCTTGCAGAACTTTTCATGAGTGACTTGGAAAGAAAGATTAAAAATGGTTTCAATTGGCTTTTCAATGTGTGGAGAAGGTTTGTGGATGATGTTTTTAGTATATTGAAGAGAAGAAATTTAGATGACGCCTTGAAGTTCTTAAACTTGCAAGAAAAGTCGGTTAAGTTCACCTACGAGGTTGAGAATAACGAGAAACTTTCCTTTCTCGATTTAATGGTACATAGGCAGAAGGGAATGTTAAATTTTGACATTTTCAGAAAAGGAACGCATACTGACATTTACATTAGTAACGACTCTTACAACCCTCCTAGCCAAAAATTGAGCATTTTCAATAGTTTGATCCACCGGATGCTCAGTGTTCCTTTGTCGCCTATGGATCGTAGTAAAGAAGAGCAGAGAATTTTGGAAATTGCAGTGAAAAATGGTTTTCAAGTTGAAACTGTAAGGAATTTAATTCGTAAAAAAGAATTTCGCAAAAGGGTTCAGGAAGTGACCACTCTTAAAAGTATAAGAGAGGATGAAGGCGCCTTTGTGAAGATCTGCTACCATCCAAACCATTTTTCAAAGTTTAAAAAAGTGTTTCTGAAGTATCACCTAAAAGCAGTTCCAGTTAATAGGCACAATTTGAAATCAGTGTTCCATGGTGATCTTAAGGACCAAGTTAGAGAAGAAGACAGGGCTGGCATCTACAGTTTGAAATGTAAAGACTGTGACAAGCAATACATTGGGCAGACAAGAAGGAAGATGAAAGTAAGAATAAAAGAACATCAAAGATGTATTAAGAACAGAGAAATTGACAAGTCAGCAGTAGCTTTGCATAATCTTGAGACAGGACATCGGTTCGAAGAGGAAGGGAAACTGTTAATTGGATGCAACGATAGAAGGAAGCTGAACATCTTGGAAGCTATGGAAATGCACAAAAAGAGAGACAAGTTGGTAAATTTAGATTTGGAATGCCTGGAAAACTGTTTGCTCAAAGTGATTGGCAGCACTGATAGATTCCACACCAAGCAGGATGTAAACAACAACAGGCAGTCGGAATTTAGCCTTGAAGAAGGGACCGAGGTGTCCCGAAACGCGTCGGCTTTTTAATTTTATTTTGTGAGTTTGAGTTTTTTAATTTTCCGATTCTTCTCTGTTTTCTCATAAAAAAACTATGAAACCTAATTTCATGTAAACTTCGATGATTTTTCTTCTTCATGTGAAGAATATTTTAAGAAAATTTAAAACCATAATGTTGGTTTGGTCTCATTTTAGAAGATGAAAGAGGACCGCAGACATTGAAACCCGCAACCAAGGTACCCATTTTTGCAGTTTCACAGTAGATCAGTAAATATTACTCAGAGAAAAAAGTCACTCATTCATATCTTGAAAGTGGAATCTTGGATTATGCCCATTACATGACCTTACATTGTAATTTGGGTGCGTTTATATTAGAAACAAAAAAAAAGATTACGAAAAAAGCAAAGTATGTAGTAATGTTTGTCTAGTAGGAAGTATCTTAGAATTAACAAATATCGCAACTAATTTTTATAAAGTTATGGTCTCGAATTAAATAGATTTTTTCTCATAAAAGTGTTTTCTAGCCTCATTTCAAACAAAAGCCGCAGGTATCTTTCTGGCTTTTCTTATCTGAGTTCTTTTTGGAGAAATTGGTGCAGGGGACTATGTATACCACCAACCACTAGCATTACATAATTCAGAAGGGGGGCGATTTTCCGGGTGTGCAAGGAAGGGAGGAGGGTCAAAAAGTCCCCCAAAGTGCCTTACAAAATGCTTGAACTAGATGGCCTTAATGCTCTAATTTATGTTCAAAGTTTGAATGAAGGAAATTCTTGTTCCCTTCGGCTCCACAGATTTTCACCATGTTGTACATTACCCCCTTTTTTTTGTCCTACATGGTATATGTACTTTATTTTTCAGAACAGCAGCAAATTATTGGAAGATATTCTACCCAGAGAGTTACACCCAGCAATTGTAGAATTAAAAGAATATTTAACTGAAAGCTTTGGAAACTCAACAAGAATTGATTATGGCACAGGACATGAAATGTCATTTTGTATGTTTCTATGTTGTCTCTTCAAGCTACGTATTTTTCAAGAAAAAGACAGTATAGCTGTGGTGACCAGAGTTTTTAATAAGTAAGTTCTTCAAATTCATGTGATCAAAAATGAAACCGTTATTTGAAGGATTATTGTTAAAAACCCAACAGAAATGCTTCAAGCATAAAACTCAGCAGAGAGCCAGATTTATCAATACTGATTTTTTGATTATCATGCAATGTTCATGGATTGTAATTTAGCTCACAACTTTGTTCAAGAAGCATAGGGAAAAAAATGCCCTTATTAAAAACGGCAGATATTTTCAAATGTGGCAGTGGAATTAAGGTCTTGTTCTACAAACCTTAGTGTGAACAAGGTCTAATGTCTTTTTGAAATCACTGCATAAAACTAATCCATCATAAATCCATCGAACACCATACATAGTTGACAACTTGCCTTTCATAAAGAAATTTTCTCACGGAGACAAGAAAAACTTACCATTTCTTGGTTTATACTCACATATTTACTTTGCTTGGATTTTCAGGTATTTGAATTTAGTTCGCAAACTTCAAAAAACATATCGCATGGAACCTGCAGGCAGTCATGGTGTCTGGAGTTTAGATGACTATCAATTTGTACCTTTCATATGGGGAAGTGCGCAGTTCATAGGTAAAATTATTTGTGATGATAATTAAAAATTATCTCAGTTTTAAGATATAGTTTCGTCCGTCTGAGAAAAATTGTCTGGTACCTTATAATTGTGTTCTGCAGTTTTACACTTCTGCTGTTAGATTTTCCGTTCTTTCTTCCTTTTCCTCTGTAAGACCAACATCTACCAAAGTTGAAGGTGTGAAAGATACCAGAAAATATTACCAAATCTGCACTACCTCCTAAAATTGTTCAATAAATTTTAATACTTGCTTGTAATGCATTAACCTCTGTACTATTGATCATTGAAAATAATCTAAAAATTTTCTTCAGCGTCTTTTTTTTCTAAAACTCAGCAAATTAGTGAAAAGAGACAGCTCGTACGGTGCAACACTAAAAGAAATATAAATGATGGCAGAAGCAGTTGCTTTTGTATAGTTGTATGTGTGCTTTACTTAGTTGCTTTTTTATTCTTTTTTAAACAGGAAAGCCAATTATTGAACCAAGTATGTTCCTTCAAGATGAAATAGTGAACAAATTGCACCAGGAATATATGTTCATAGGCTGTATTAAGTATATAACAGAGGTAAGAATTCAAAAGTTCAGTTATTATACTTTTTTTGAAAATATGATCTGCTTTATTTACTTCTTTGCAATGATATAATTACCCTTTGGTCAAAATATCACAAGCTCCATTCATACTTAGATGCTATGTTGCTAGACACCTCAATATTATTTCAATTTCTTCTTCAAAACTTTGGCACACATTTTCATGAAAATTCGAGAGACTAATTTTACTGACAAAAGAAATACCAGGAAAATTTTTCAAATTATTCTGCTCATTAGTTTTTCCATAGAAAAATTGGACAAATTTGGTAACATAGTGCTCAAGCACCAATGGCGCTTGTGATATTTTGACTAGACGGTGACAAGCAATACTCTATTCTTCATTGCTTGTTGGCATAGGAAGAAAATGTAAAAATTATTCAATCAGTAGCATGTCAGAAACCAAACTCATATGTATTTTGGTACAAAAAATGACAGTTGAATTGGACTGTATTTTGCGATGAAGAACTATTATTTCTGGCTCAGTCATACAAGCATTAATCTGCTCTGGAAAACTAATGCTACATAATATATTGCCTAAAATTAGCCAAAAATTTTAGCTCTAATTGCAAAATGTAGTCCATTTCATCTGCAGGTACTAGGTAAAATATTACCCATCCTTCTATATGCTCCCTGCTATTATTTGTGGTGGAACCAACCATGCTTGACTGTTTCTTTTTGTATTTTGTGTCCCTAGAGCCTCTAATTTTGAATAATAAATGAACTGTGCCTTTTATACTGTTTGATCGATTGAATATTTAGAATTATTTAAATAGAAAAGTCTTTGATTTGTTTGTAGGTCAAAACTGGTCATTTTGCAGAACACTCAAATCAGTTGTGGAACATAAGTGGACTCACCACATGGACTAAAGTAAATCAGGGTCTTATCAAAATGTATGATGGAGAGGTATGTGTATTTGTGGATATTATTCTCAAAGAAATTCGTTGTCTGAGCTTTCGCAGTTTTGGACAATTTTTTGTATTTTTTATCACAACTGCACAGAGAATATGACAGGTTTTGGGTAGTGGCTTGTAATAACTCTTGTTTTAATTTTTTGCCCCAAAAATATTTAGCTTGTACCATGCGTACAATAGCATTTCCAAAGCATCACATTTTGTCTGAAAATTTCCTTCTAATCTATTTTTCTTCAACTTGCTTGATCTTGTGCCTTCATCCATGAATCCAGAAAAAAGATAAACATCTTCTCTAAAAATCTGTACATATTTTAAGAGAAATACCGATCCATACTAAGTTTCAATCTTTTTTATCTTCTCACAGAAAATGGATCTTTGCTGCTCCAAAAAAAATGTAAAAGGGATTTTTTTATTCTTGTCAAGTTATTTTTTATCATAATATACATACATTTTGATGGCTAAGGCACAAAACTGCCTACCTGCAAACTCTGACGATTTTGCAGGACAAAGAAGAAACTTCGCCATTCTTGTATCTTTGTGGTTGGATTTGCAATTTTTTTCTTTCTCTTTTTACATTACAGCGTTATTACAGTGCTCCCGTGCGGAATTGCAAAAAACTAAAAACATCAGCTTGCGTATTTAATACTGAGGAATGCAGTTAAGACAGTAACTCATTTTCGCCAAAATTGTCAGTTAGGTAGTATTGTTCTTTAGCCTTCGATTTGAAGATGTATTACAACAGATGTAGTTCCAAGTTCTCAGTTAGTTGTTATTTTCATTGAATTTTGACCTTCCCAAGAGGCCCTACCATTGTCGGGCTTTTAAAAACATGAACTTGGCTTTAAACACCTTTATTTTTTCTTGATTCTTGATGCTTTGTTGCACAGTTAGTTTAGTTGCCTGTTGGACTCAAACCCAAATAAGGTCACGGATTTTCACTTCCTGAGTGTGTCAGTTACCACCATGTTTTTACGGAGATAAAAGCATCCATTCCTGTTAAGGGCAAAATAATTACTACTCCAATCTTGTTCCTTTATTTATGAGTTTTATGTTTCTCTATTTATCATTAGTTTGCCTGCAACATATTTGCTATGTTGTCTAGATTTTGTTTTTGGTGATTTCCACCTTTCTCCAAATATGAAGCAAGGAACCACGAAACAAGGTAGGAATTGAAGCATTATGATACATATTTTCTACTCAAAATTTCATATGAAATTTGATTCAGGTAACAAAAAAGCTTAAAATAGCTCCTAAGGAAACTATTTATGTTTTCAGTTTGCATTGGGTACAGGAAATTTAAATTGCTACACAAGAAAAACAATACGCTGTGTTAGTCAGATCGCACACTACAACGCTCATGGCGAGCTTTTCAATCAAGAAGTGCTCTTTCCCAATATTGGCTTGTTTAAAGTTTGAAAAACATGTAACAACCGAGCCGAAGGGCCAAAATTTGGCTTGTCATATTTTTATGCTGCATAGACTATCATGGCAATTTTCAGCACGTAATTCAACTCGTGAAGAGTTTTGTTGTTTCCTAAGCAGGAAGTTTAAATTCACGCATCAAAAATCATTAAATATCCTAGTTAGGAGTTGACTTTAAAAATCTCCTCCGAATCATGCTCCATATGAAATTTTAATTCGGAAACAGGTGTCAAAATGAATCAATTTGTATCCAGTTCAGTGGTCCATTCAGCAATGATACAGAGATCTTATGTCAACACCTGGTTTAGGACCAATAAGTATGATCTTTATGAAGATTCTGTTCTGGAGTAGCTGCAAAACTGAGAAAGGTGCACAAATCTTATTAATGCCTGTCAAAGAATAAGTTACAACGTCTGGAAAGAACTTACTTTTTTTTTCATTGATATAAAAACCTTTTTTCTCGTTTTGAAAAAATGGAATTTACTGATCGTGTGAAGTTGTCCTAGACTTAAAACGTCAGCATGTTTAGAGGAAAAGTGGTCATTGCAAATCCCTTATTTTCATTATGAAGCGAACTACAGCTAAGAATGTACAGTCAAACCTCACCAAGTCTGAAATTCCGATAGCTCTGTAGTATTGGCTTCGTCCCGTTTTTTTTGGTTCGCCAGTATTAAGTCTGTTTTATACGGAAATCCTACTTAGTCGGAATGAACGCTTGGTCTAGATGCATTCCAATTTAGTAAGGTATGACCTAAGCAGTGTGCTATGCAACAAGTATTTCATGTTATAATTTTTTTTTTAGGTATTAAGGAAATTTCCCGTAATCCAGCATGTTTTATTTGGGTCTATCTTGCGGTTCCAAGCATGTGAAAAGGCAAAATTTGCTCTTCCAATGCAGCGAAAACCATCAGCACCATTCAGTGTCTCCACATCGCAGCTTACTAGGGAAGCTGTTCTCTCACGGTCTCAATCAGATGCAGATGCATTAAATAAAAAACCAGGTAACATCCCACATGTTTCTGTCAATGAAGCTAGGGTGAGCAAAAGCCCTGACAGCCAAATCAACTGATCAGTTTCGTTGTTTTCTTTTAGCAAAGCAAAGTCAGGATAATTAATAAAAAATATGAAGCTGAAGTGTGAAATATTCAGTCTGTGAACTATTTCATTCATCATACCTACTATGATTTATTTTCCTACTCCAAATTAGGTTTTGAATGAGTCCGCTTTCAAAAATCTGATTTTGTATGATTTTTCAATTCAATAATTGACTTCAAGCCCAATTGACAACAAAAGTCAATAGTTTTGGGATATTATAATTTGCCAAACTGGATTGTTTTAAATGGAGAATTCGAAAATACATGGAACTAAAAAGTTGAATCATAGATAATTTTATGACATCTTTACTGATCAAAATATGCATCTACTTCAGAGAGGAGACAAGAAGATCACCTCCATTATCCCATTTGAGTTTGATTGGACTGAAATTGCTATTCTTAAATTAATAATTGTGTGTGATGAATTGTAATTCTAATCACAAAAATACAAATCTAACTTTGCCTAAATTTTTTAAACGCAGAACTTATTGTTTAAGTCTGAAAATAACCAAGTTTTGAATGTTATTTTATTACTCCTAAAATAAAAGATAAAAAAATGAACCATCAATAATTTAAAAAAATTGGATGTGTCAAGTGCGTCTCAGTAGTATTTGAGTGAGTAGCTGAGCTAAATCAAATATTTATCATTCCATCTCTCAAAATTTTATCAAAAATCATTACACTAAGTAACTGGTTCAGTATACTATGTAGTGCTGCACAATCTTGTTTTTCTTTTTTTAAATTATTTGATGAATAATCATAATTATGAGTATTATTGTGATTAACTCCATTATTCTAATCATGACTAAATGAAAATATCCTCAGTTGCATACTGGGACAAATTTAAACAAAGACAATTTTTACTTGTGATATAAAGATAATTTATGTTAAATTTTTTTCCACCCCCATCCTCACCCCCATTTCTTTTATTTTTAAAGATAATAAGAAACCAATTTAAATGTTGTGAAAAGTTTTCCATTTTTATCAGGACTCATTTTGATGTTTTCTTAGAAAATTTTTGTTACCTTTTCTTCCTGATCTTCTTGTTCTTTTCCTTTTTTTAAATGACAATGGCCACTTCAGGATCAGAGTGTCCCATCAGCAGATCTTCTGATCACTCTGTGGTTTCTACTTGGCGTATGAAACTACTCCGTGCCCCATGCCACCCTCCTAATTAGTGCCAGTAATGAATCGTTGCTCATGATAACCCACCGTTTTGCGATGTGAGTGTAAATGTAGTGCTTCATCAGTTTTAGTTTTAAATCGGTTGTATCGTGAGACAAGTAGAAACCATGGAGTGATCAGAAGACCTGATGATGGGATACTCAAATCCCGGGATGGCCAATGTCATTTGAAAAAAGGAAAATAACCAGGAGATCAAGAAGAAAAGGTAAAAACCAAAATTTTCTAAAAAAACATCGATTTGAATGTCTCAAAATAATTTTCTTTTTCATTTTTCCCCTGTTTATCTATAAAGGATAATTTGCCAAGTACAAATGTTGTCAAATTTCGAAACTTGACAATTTCTGTCTTCTTTCTCTGAAAACTTCAGTGGTTAATTTTGCAAGTTGGCTACACAATTTTATTTTGATTTAAATCCCTTTTAAATATCAATTTTACGTGAGACTGCCCGCCACACTAATAATCAATTCTTTTAAAGACATCTAAGTAGAGCGAAAAAAGCATTGCCAGCTCGCAAGAATCACCACTGAGAAACTCGCATTTCTCTGACAGAAAAATTACTGAGGACATAAAGAAACAAAATTACCCAGAAACTTTAGAAGAAATCCCTTTTCTTTAAGTCAATCAACTACAGGAATAAGCAGTATGTAATTCAATAGTTTCATCTGTTTCCGTTATTTATTGATGCAAATTTTACAAGCAATATTCTCTTCTTCTAATATGCTTCCTAAAATTATCGGGTGCACCACTTCAGTGCATCTCCTTCTCTTAATTTATTCGTTTTACGGCAAAGTCGTCTATATGTTTTCTTTTCTTTTGAATGAATTTCACCTTTTATTTTGAAATACATGTATACATGTATTTGATTTATGTAGATGAACTTGTCAGCTAGTCATTTTTCTCCCTAAAAATATTACATTTTTTTTAAAGTAAAAACTTTCATACTTCTCTGTTGCTCTTTCCTCTCCTGTTCCATAAAACTCAAAGTTGAACAGATATTTTTTTTCAGGGCCCAAGCACCAAAATTCAACTCTCGATAAGGGCAGAAAAAAGAGTGCCATTTGGCCTTCATTCAATCCATCAAGCCCAGTTTCAATAGGTAATCTGCAGTCAAAGACATTTTTTAGGCTCAAAAGATCAAGGGCATGTCATATGGCAGTTTCCTCCACTTTTCTCGAAACTTGGGTTTTGGCGCTTTGACCCATGAGAAAAATATTGGTTCAATTCTACTCTTTCTGTTTCCTCAATATCTGTCAGAACTCAGAGCTCTTTCCTCAGTCTGAAACGTGCACATTTTTTTACGCTAATTAAGGTCTTGAATGAAAGGTCGTTTGAGGTCTTTGTCACTTGGCTTACAGTTCAATGTGAATTCAATGTGAATTCAACTACAAACTCAGGTTTGAAAACTGAGGTTTCTAAAATGGAACAATTATCCTCCATCCATTTTCTTAATCAAAAAACTGTCTCATTATGATTGTCTAAAAAAACTCTCACTCTTAGAACTTGAACAAGATGTAAGATGATGTGTTGAATAATACATTGGGAAAATGAGTGTGATGCCCATGAAATTCAAAATCTTATTCACCAGAAACTTTTTCGTTTTTCGGTGTGGCAAATGGTGTAATTTTTTCAACTACATATCCATTTTTGTCTGTAAGTTTATTCAATCTCATCACTGTTTCCTATTTTAACCTACATATATTTCAACACTAAAATAAGGAGTGAAAAATGTAAATTCAATACGGTAACAAAAAATATTTATTGAAATAAAATTTCTCTTCGGCTTGAAATCATACATCTAATGAGGTAAAAATTAAAATTTTCAAAAACATAACATTAAAAATTTAAACTGAATTTATAGAAATAATTGCAGGTATAAAATCTGCACTGAAAAAATTTACTGATTAACATTCCATAAAATTTCCTCTCTCACATTTCTCAAATTATGAAATATGTAGGTAAATTGCTAAATAAATATTTTCTAGGAAATAATTTTTTAAGCTATAGTAACTTCCATTCAATGGGATGGTTAGTTAAATAAAAAGCGTAACCACAAAGACAAACTGGATTGCATTTTGCAAAAAGGAACCACTAGCATTGCAATGATGCTAAGATTGTGCAACTTCATCTTTTGTAATAAAATTGCGGAAATCGTGAAAAACTATGAAATTTAGATGGTAATTTTTGTCTTAAATTTACAGTTTTTAGCGAGTAAAATAGAAACTTTTAATGGATAATCGGGTTTTTCCTCCAAGACAAAAGAAGTTGCACAATCTTAGCAACATTGCAATGCTAGTGGTTCCTTTTTGCAAAATGCAATCCAACTGTACGAGATGTAGATAAGTTAACCCTCTATGGCCTGGTGTAACGATTTCGTTACTACGCATTTTTTTGTTTTTTGTGAATAGAATCATTCCTCTGTGGCATAATGTTGTTAAGTTGTATCAATTTTTTCGATTTTGAAGACATGAATACTAAAATTTACAAATTTTGAGAAGAAGAATGGAAACTTAATGTTTTCACAAAAGCTACACCATAGATTTGTGTCCTTTTGTAAGCTTAAGTTGATTTAACAAATAGATTTTAAAAAAAAAATGTGTTACATCTAAAATTATCTGAACACCACTATTAAAGGAGGATTCATTTAGTTAGTTCCACTTGAGGTATCTTCTCTTTTGAAGGAAGTGTTCCTTTCCCTCAACGGCCGCCTTCTTACTCTCTTTCTTTTTTGACTCTTACTATCATCGCTGAATGTAAGGGAGGAAAGTGACTGAGAGTTCTTCAAAGAACTTGAACTACTGGAAAAGTGTCGAGTTTTTTCTTTTTCATACAGTTTTGTAATAGCATCTTTATTTGAAAATTCATTTTTCAGTTCTTTAAAATGTTCAGGACTAAATATATCTTGCATGTTGGAAGATCCAGTCGATGTGGAGTTGCTTGTATCAATAGGACTTTTAACGTCTGCAAAAACAAGTTCATCACTATCTTTTTCCTTAACAATCTTTGATGTCCCTGCCGGTTCACAATCCATTGGGTGACGGTGAGAATTTTTCTTTATGCCTTTAAATTGACCATCATTGATTATGTTCTTGTTCGTAGAATATTTTCTCTTTTTGAGCTGTTTTGTTTCTGTCGAATCACTTAAAGAGAAAAGTGAGTTTTCCTCTTCTTCCTGAATATTATGTCTAGGAATATTAGCAGCTGAGTTAGTGTATCCTGAAGAAAATCCTTTTCGTAAGTTTTCATACAACTTTATCACATTATCCTCATCTCTATGCTCTTCTAATGCATCCATTTTTAGTTTTTGGTAATTTTTCTCATAAAATTTCTCAAAAGGATCATCTTGTTTGGCCGTTTGCTGCAACTTGGAGACTCTCGCTTGATCAGTGATTGATGAAACAAATGACGAAATTGATTCTCTATCGTCGCTTGAGGCATCCTTATCTGATGCGTCAAAAGTTCTTTGCTCTTTCTCTACCAATGTTGTGGAGGAGTTGTGCCAATTTTCTGAGCCTTTGGAAGAAGAGCTACTCTCAGTCTCTACACTCAGCATCTCAAAATTCTTTCTCACATTATCCTCATCTCTATGCTCTTCTAATGCATCCATTTTTAGTTTTTGGTAATTTTTCTCATAAAATTTCTCAAAAGGATCATCTTGTTTGGCCGTTTGCTGCAACTTGGAGACTCTCGCTTGATCAGTGATTGATGATACAAATGACGAAATTGATTCTCTATCGTCGCTTGAGGCATCCTTTTCTGATGCGTCAAAAGTTCTTTGCTCTTTCTCTACCAATGTTGTGGAGGAGTTGTGCCAATTTTCTGAGCCTTTGGAAGAAGAGCTACTCTCAGTCTCTGGACTAAACACCTCAAATTTCTTTTTATTTTGTTGCACTGTTTTATTTATTTGTGCATTCCTCTCTGAATGATGGCTATTCAAAGCCTCTCGGCTAATTTGGCTGTTGATAACATTATCAAAATCTTCAAAGTCTGTTTCCGCTCCCAAAGATTTGAAGAAGCTTTTTTCTGAAACCACAGGAGATAGAGTACTTTCGAATCCTGCCAGATGCGTGCCATTTCTATCAACATTTTTCTTTTTACTCATAAGAGTTGAAGATTCTATTCCTAACATCTTATTGAGAGAACTCAATATACTTGAAGGTGGTGTCTGATCATTGATATCTTCAGAGGTTTTTTGTCCTCTAGTAGTCTGGTCTGGGGTGCTTGTTGCCCTTTGAAGCAGGGAGAAATTTGAAAGAATTTGCTCTGATGATGTTGTTGAACTAGAAGATGCTCCCTCTCTTTTTACTCTCCTATTTTGTGGCACAGTTAAATCATGAACATTTTCAAATTCAAATTTGCGTTTGGGGGTTTGATAGTCTGATGAACTTTCATTCAGAGAAAAATCTGTGATAATGTTTTCTGAAGACATTGAGTCGAGAGAATCTTTGAATTTTGAACGATCCACCTGTAGAGAGGATGTTTTCATTTTTAAGTCAGCTCCTCTGCTTTGTTTTGCTGTCATGAACGATATGCTACCAATATCGCTTTCATCAGAGTTGGATGATGAATAACCAATCAAACCATGTCGAGGTGTTCTTTCACCAGGCTTGCCCTTAAAAGTAATGTCTGTATGAGGAACAATCGACTGGATAGTATCACGTTGACGGTTTATATCTCTGCCCTCATCGGTAACACTTTGATCAAGAGCGGATGACTGATTTGATGTGGAAACACTTGTCGTTTGGCTTCCATCACTTTCAGTCTGCTCTTCAGGAGCCTTAGGTTTGGTCAAATTTCGAATTGGAGAGCAATTTTTCTGATCCTGCTCTGGGAAAGATGGTAAATTGGGAGGACCTTGTTGAAAAATTGAAAAATCTCTAGTTTTGGGAAAGTTTGAAGGTAAATTAGTAGCTCGTAGAAGTGTAGATTTTTCCGACAGGGGCCTAGGAATAATTCCCTCCTCGGAGGTAAGTGACTTACTATCATCAGACATGAGTTTTATCGTGCTGCCCTCACTGCTGCTGGAAATGATTTGATCTGGAACTGATGACTCATCTGACTCAGATACAAGTGTTGACTGAGTTTCATAAAGGTTTGATGGGGGTTCAAGGGCCTTAAATTTTGTAACCATCAGAGAAGAATCTGGAGAACTTGTCGAGGTGGGAGATTTCTCTTCTGTAGGACTTCTTTTAACCCGTTCTGCTTCAAAGGGGTCATGTAGTGTCAATTCCTGTCGCTGCATATCTGGTATAAGTGCATTCTCTAACCTTGAATCATCCCTCTTAAAAGTAGAATTTTCTTCTAATGGTCGGTGATCTTCATTCTTTGCATCTAATATCTGAAAAGTTACAGTATATTGATCTACTCCTCTGAGAGCATGTTGAGAGTTTATTTGTTCCGTCTGAACAGAAGTTGTATTCCCATTTTTATTATCACATTTTGCCACCGTATTTTGACTGGTATCTATGATGGTAGTCGAATCAATACTCGAAGATGAATCAGTGGCTGGACTAGAGAGATCAGATGATTCTGAAAGAATGCGACCATTTGTTCTAGGAACTTTGTTGATGTTGTAACTTAATTCTGATTTCGTGTCATCGCCACTCTCTGACATGACGTTTGAACCAGTTTTGTTATTTTTGACCGTATCAGCAACTTTATGGTCAGATACGGAGATAGGCATGTTTCGTGTCATTCCCCTAACATCTGACTCCAAAATATAAGTAGCTTGACCTCCTGGAAGATTCCCATCTTTATTATCACATTTTGCCATCATGTTTTGACTGGTATCTATGATGGAACTCGAATCAAGACTCGAAGATGAATCAGTGGCTGGACTGGAAAGATCAGATGATTCTGAAAGAATGCGACCATTTGTTCTAGAAATGTTGTTGATGTTGCAACTTAATTCTGATTCCGTGTCATCGCTACTTTCTGACATGATGGTTGAACCAGTTTTGTTATTCTTGACTGTATCAGCAACTTTATGGTCAGATACGGAGATAGGCATGTTTCGTGTCATTCTTCTAACGTCTGACTCCAAAATATAAGTATCTTGACCTCCTGGAAGATTGACATCGTAGTTCAAGTCTGATGCCATGTCATCATCAGTCTCTGACATAACAATCGAACTAGTTTCGTTGCCTCTAGCCATACCAGCAATTGCGCCATCAAATTTAGGGGCCTGCCTTGTTTCATAACATTCTTGGCTGTTCTGATTCTCAACTGTAGAGGAGTGATCTTGTGGAGCAGTGAAATTCAAATTACATTGTTCATTAGCTCCAGATGTTGCTGAATATTTGATGTTCTGACTGTTGGTCTCGGTTGTTTGCAAATCGGATAGTATATCAATACCAAACTGTGGCAACTGTATCGTTTTATCTACTTTATTGACATCTTCACTGCTCGAGTTTGATGCATCAGAACTGTCCTCTTCTGTTGTAATAGTTGCCCAATCATTAAATTCTCTGTTGTTTGCACTTTGTTTCAAGCAGTTCCCCTTTAAATCAGTATTCAAAGCCTTCTTATCAAAATCAGTATCTTCAGTGGGAGGAGGAATATTTTGCACAATTTTCCTTATCTGTGGCTGAATGTTTTCATCTTTGTTTTTAATTTGTTGGTGAATTTTTCCAGTCTCTTTAATTTGCATTCTGGAGAGCTCACACATCGTTTCTTCAGCTTTTGGTTCAAATGTATCTTCCTGGAAATGCACCGTTTTTCTGAAGTTTGTTGTGACAACTTTTTTATCCACTACCAATTCGTTTTCGTCAAATTTTTCAGTTAAAATATTACGTCCTGTACTTGAGTTTGTGGCAAAAGGCTGCAAATGGTCTCCTCTCTTTGCATTTATCTTGATGGAAGATTTTCGCTTTATAGGTGCTGGATGTAATGGTTTTTGGAATTCCTGATTTTGAGAAGTGTGGTTTTGTTGTCCACCTATTTTTCTCAATTGCTTCCTGTATTTATGCAAACCTTCATCCTCGGTCAAAAGTGTGCTTGACGAGGCTTGCGTTTGAGCAACATCAAAGTCTTGATTGCATGTTTTAGAAACTGTTTCAACCTCTGATACGGAATCTATACTCTGAGGACTGCTGTAGAGGGTCTTTAAAACCCCGCCTCTGGCCTTTTGTTTATTTGTTGTCTTTTCTGAGACATTATTGAGTAAATGATTGTTACAAGTATCTTGTGTAACATTCTGAGGAAGATGTTGGTTCCTCATAGGAAGGGTTTTTTGGCTTTCCCGATGTTGCCGATAGCTAAAGGATGGGAATATCTTTGGTGCATTCATACCATTTTCTGCTGTTCTTTTTGAAGAATCATCATCAGGTCGTAACTTTGTTGACACAGAAGAAGACATCCAGTCATCACTATCATCAGATTGTTGAGTGAGTGTGGAGCACTCCGCCATAAACTCCTCCTCTCTTGCTCCCTCTTGTTCTTTATCAAAACCAAAGTCGGGGACAAAGTTTTGGAAAGTTCGATGAAATTCTCTTTTCTTCTCTGCTGTTCTCTTATTTTGTCTTTTTTTGGCATTCTTCAAAAGTTTGTCCAGATCAGAGTGCGATGACAGGAAATGTCTGCGAATGAAAATTTTACCTATTGAAATTAATTCTATAAACAAAGCTGACAGAAAGACCTCAAACACAAAAAAAAATTCAGAGTAACGCTCTACTTTTATCTCTGATTTGGAGAAAATATGTTTTCATGGATGATGAACCATGAGAAACCCAAATCTGACGAACCTGAAGCACTGAGAGCCTTGCTAATGGGGTAGAGAGGGGCCCTCAACTTAAATATTTAGCAGGTCTAGGGCTCGTCTTGTACACTATCTTCTAGGTCCCAGTGCGCTTCAGGGCTGTCGCTCACTTGTGAAAATACCTTCTGCCCAGGTCTCCACAACAATTTTGGGACCCAGACATTTCAGTGAGAAGGGCTCTGTCTCCCAATGCCAGAGGTCAGAATTTCGTAAAAAGATGGACCGATTATGGATATTTTTTTGTCGATTTAGAATAAAAGTATCAGTAATTTTTTATTTCATCAACATAATTTCAAATTTGTGGCAAAAACCCTGATTTTCCAAGTTAAGGCACACTAACCTCCCCCCCCCCCCTTTCACCCTTCAAGGCGGAATGGGTGGACTTCGGACTGATGAAATTTGGATCGCTTGGTGTCAAATTTTTATTTATCCCTGAGGTCCTCCACTTCATCCGACTTAAAATAACTGAGTAAAAAGCCTGGCACAGGCTGTCTGAAACACCTTGTATATCACAGGCTGTCTGAAACACCCTGTATATCACAGACGGTCTGAAACACCCTGTGTATCACAGACGGCTTGTCTTTACAAATGGACCACTAGACAGGGTCAAAAGTCAAGAGACCGCACATAATGATTTATCATCTTCATGCTAACACTTGGAGATTTTATTTTAAATAAAGTCATGCTTGAAAAATTAGCGTTTATATAATTTAAAAAAAAAAAAAATTTATCAATTTATAACTTTCTTGATTTTTTCCTCTCTGTTAGCAGAGTATTCTGTACAAATTTCAAGCTATAAAGTTGACTCGATTCTCCTCGAAAAATTAAAACGGAGCAGAGATTCTGGAACCTCGCAATGAAGATAAGTGGTTACGCACTTTGGCCATCAATCTACCATGTGTAAAAGACAAAATTGTTGTTGGTCGGCATTTTAGGAAACTAGGAAGGCTCTGGTTCAGGTGACGCCAAAGTGTGCCGCTTAGGTCATGCATGAAACATCCATTGATTTGTAAAATCTTACCTTGAGACTTCGCCACAAATGTTGGGAATACCAAAATATTTCAGAGTCATCCCATTAATTTGTGATGGCTGCAGAAAGTTGTAATGGCGAGAGTTATAGCGATAACGTTCCTCATACATTGTTGTAAGCAGCGGGATCCGATCCTGCGGCTTAGTCAGGAAATGCTTGGCCCAAACTATCAGCTCTATTTTTTCCTTATTGTCAATACAGCTCTTGACATAAGCTTTCACTGCTTCATCATCAGTAAGATCAACATCTAGAAATAGGTAAACATTGTTTCAATGATTGTCACTCAATGGAAAACTTCAATTGTTTCATCAGTCAAGACTTAATTGATAAGGAGGTACGTCTAAGATTTGCTGGGTATGCTACAAAATAGACCACTAGACACGGTGTGAATTAAAGTTTGATGTTTGTTTTTTCATCAAAATTTCACGTAGAACAGGATTCATGCAACAAAAATTATTGAAAGTAGGTAACTCCTAACCAAGATACCTAGTAACGTTTTTCAATGCCTAAATTTAAACTTCCCACTAATTAAAAAAACCATACCTAATCTACCTACTTGAGTTAAATTGCACACTAAATGTCACCGCAACAGTTATTGTTGTGTAAAATTATGGTAACTTCATTCTCAAAGCTTTAGCTCAGCTGTTGCATGTTTTTAACATTTTGAACAACACAGAGCTGGGAAAGAAACTCTGAATGATTAAGAAGCCTGCCAAATCGGTCATAAGTAGTGCACGATTTTATTCATGTAGATTTTGGTTTTTCTTGTGAGCAGGAAATTTAATTTATTCGTAATCAGTGAAATATTAAAGTGTTAATATCTTGATTAAAAAATTATTGAAATCTAAATCTGAGTTTATTGCAAAATTTAGTACCTACATACCCTCTTTTAATAGTTTTTCAATTCCTATTAGCTGCGCAGTATGAAGATGGATTTTTGGAAGAAACAAATCAAATGCACAACTTTGTATTGTACTTGCGGATAGATGATTCAAGCTTGGACTATCTTCGATTTCGAGGTCTTACTAACCGTAAACATGCATTTGTTTAAATTCTAATTCTACCTATGCCTAAACCTAGCTCTCCCAACTCTTATTACAAGAATATCCAAATTTATTTTTGCATTGCCTGGTATCCTTGCCAAAATATAGTCAGTCAGTTCCTTCAACGAAAAATTGATGTCACAATTTCTCTGCACCAGTTATTGAGATTGCCTCATTAAAAGTAGAAATCATTTATTTCAAATCAGTTTACGTGGAGGAATTTATAGGAGCGCTTATATCTCCCAGGTAAGTAGGTATCTATTATTCCAATTTTTACGTGCGTCGTGGATATTTCAGGATAAAAAGAATAGAATTAAGTATGTGTGGTCAGTGATTATGAACTATCAAAGTCAAAATAATTTCAAAAGAAGGTGAAAATTTAGGAGAAATAATGTCACTGAGTTTGCCCTAGTAAGAATCCACTAATTCCTCAGCCCGCATACTGTCAATTCAATATGACGAAACTGAAAGGAAGTTCCCAAAGTTAAGGAAAATTTCAAGGCAGTTTTAAGTGTGCTTCATATTTGGATTGCATTTTTTGAAAAGGAACCAAGAGCATTGCAATGTTACTATGATCGTGCAACTTATATTCTTTGCAATAAAATTACTGAAGTCGTGGGAAAAATTAAATTTACAAAGGTAATTTTCGTCTTAAATTATAGTTTATTGGGAGAAAGGATACAACTTCTTTAGATGATCAGTTTATATTTGCAAGGTAAAAAAAGTTGCACCATCTTAGCGACATTGTAATAGGTACTCTTGGTTCCTTTTTGCAAAATGCAATCCATTTAATGAGTTCCCAATTTTCATCTTTAAATCAATGGCAGAAAAGCAATATCTCCAAATAAAAGTCAATCCAATTCATTTGCATGGTGAACCAATTTCTGACATTAGTGACATACTTAACATGGATCATTTTGGCGGCAGTTTAATCAGACTCTGATATCACTCTCTGATATCAGACTATAATCGTCAGTGAAATTTGCAGACCACATAACTCGGTTTGCGACGTTGCAGACTGCCTGTCATACTTACTTTATTTTTTAAATGAAAAATTGCCCAACATAGTTAAACATTCCCAACATTTTTCTTCTCTATGAAGAAAACTCAGTGAAAACTTTAAGGAATGATGCTTTCTTGTTTTTTTTTAAATGAAAATTAGGCAGTTGATTTTTTTAAACACTGCAAACAAGATATCGACGGTGAAAGTCGGCAATCACATAACTCGGTTTGCGACGTCGCAGACTTCCTGTCATACTTTATTTTTTAAACGGAAAACTACTCATCGGTAATTCTTTAAAACTTCCGTGATTTTTCTTCTATGTGCGAGGAAAATTCTGCAAAAACTTCAAGGGATCATGTCCATTTGTTCTCCTTTAAAAAAATAACATAGTTGCGGAGATTTTCAGACACCGCAAACGAGTTATGTGATTGCCGACTTGCACCGTCGATATATGATCAGATAGTTTCACCGTAATTGCAGTGCCATTAAGGAGAGCTTACAGACTGATGTAGGTAGATCAAAGTACCTAATGAAACTGACAAGTCAATATACTCAGTCTTACTTCAGATTGACTCTCTCACCAGGAAACATACCTACTTGCCCCCTTCAACTCGGTTTTACTGATTTTAGGATTGGGCAGATATACCTTCAATATTACAGAGGAGGTGACCAAGTCTCCTGTTTCCAAAATGGTTTTAAGAGTATAGTTTAGGTAAAGCCGCCACTGTCAAGCTATGTATGGTCGTCTTTGAATCTTACTTACAAGATCCCCAGATTCCTTTGAAGTCCCTAAAAGGAAGTAGGCAAGAAGGAAAGGTTCTTTGTAACACTTCATTATGTACGAATTTACGCTCCTTGGAATGCAAATAATAGGAAGGTACATGTTAGCATTTGCTCATCTTTTCAACAGAATCAGGAGAAAATCTACTCGTGCTCAGAAACAAGTGTTTTACGAGTGTATTTTCGGCGGGTTCATGTGCTTGAGCAATAGGAATATAAATTATGGAATGCTCGGAAATAGATATTTAAAAGGGTCCTCACCAAAATCAAATTTCATATTGACCTGTGACTGAATGTGCGGTATTTGATCAGAATGAATCCCAACGAAAGTAATAGTTGAATCTACGTTCTCTAATGAATCGTCTGAGCTACTGGATTTTGTTTTCGGCTTCCGCTCTCACGTTCATTGAAGGTTTTAGTAGTTCAAATACGACGACAGCAACTTGGAAATTACTTTGACTGCGACGAGCTACACCTGACCGATTTTCAAATTAATGAAAAATGATTGCCGAGTGCGGGCGGACTGTGGAGTGATTTGATTTGACCGATTTGACTACGGGACGGGCTACGGATGTGACGGAACCGGAAACGGCATAGAGAAAAAAAAGCGGAAACGGTCCCGAGCAGCCCTTTTCCGGTGCGGCTCAGCCAATCAGCGTCCGTTTAGGAATGATGGGCGCATGCGCAACAAGTATTCAGCTCTCCAACCCAACGAGCGAAATATTTTAATGGATGATTAATGTGCTACTTCTTTCATTCCTTAATCCTCACCCTTCAACTCGAAATTTGACACTAAGTAATTTTTTCAAGTTTGCAAATGCAAATTCTTTCCAAATTATGATTTAACAATTGAAGAAAATTCTATGTAAACGAAGTCGACTTTTGCGAATCAGTATTCCTAAGTTGGTATGTTTGACAGGCCGAGCTAACCAAACAATCACAACAAAATTCTCTGTTCCCTTGACACGAAAATCTCGTCGTAAACTTGAATTGCCTTTTTTGGGTAAAATAATTGTCAAAAATTAACTTCTGCGTAAATTTTAGCTTCGAGGACTCATCTCTTGATGAAGGTTGGTGATTATGATCATTTTTTCTCTTTTGAAATGGATTTCCTCCATTTTAATCAGCCTATCTTTATTTTAGGTTAATCTTTGACTTATTGTGTTAACTTATGTTTGTTTGTTGTCAATTTAATTTCCTTGCCGTAAGTACATAATTATCTTTACTTGTACTTTGAGATTCTCTCTGCCTCATTTGGCTCTTGCTGGAAGATACAACCAGTGTAAGCAAGAATACATATTTTCTTAGAATATTTAGCACCAAGTGTTCGATCTGGGATAATGTATTTCTTACGCCATGACCTGGACAGAATGTTTATCAGGCGAGGAAAACTTATGCACCTCATGCGCCAAATACACCCTTACCCTGTAATTATAGTAAATCAATCCTTCTCCAATTTAAGTTTTGCTGTTGAAACTGATTATTCCACAAAGATTAGAAAGATAGTAAAATCAGTGAGTAATTCACACAATTTTGAAGTTTAAGCATAGCAAGTATCTAAAGTATAATTTAGAGTCAATTCTCCATTTGTGTTTAATGTTTGAATGATTGAACGTCAAGGTAACATCCAAAGGATGCTGGAGATCAGAATATCGAGTACCAAAACCTTGAGTAATCAAGAACAGTGGGCCGATTACTCATTGAAAGTTCAAAGCAGGACAACAAGACATGGAAATACAATTTATTGCATGGCTAAGGGAGAGCCATGTCTAGTCTTGTTGTGCTGACATGGTTTCAATTTCCAGGCTGCTGAAGACGCATGTGATGCTATGGTAGCGCCCAGAATCCTGTAAATTTTATCCTGTCCAATTGTTCGACAGCAGTTGGTAGAAATGTGTGATTCAGAGAATAGCTTTACCGAAGCAGTGTGTAGCACGTTTTCTTCAACCATAAAAACAAATCTACTTTCACCAAGAGTTTAGGCAGTCTAATTTCTCATTCAAGACTCATTCAAGGCATCCAAGTAACAGCAGAACATCAAGAGATTTGCTTCAAGTAACGCTCTCTCTTATTGTTTTGAAATTCAAGTATGAATCCATCCTTCTCTAATTCTTCTCAAGTATTTTGCTTGTGTTCGTGCCTCTAATATTTAAAGTTTTGATGATTTTTGTTCTGTCTTTTTTTTTCCAGGTTGTTCTTACTGATGATTAGCTCCTTGGCAATGACTTATCAACGTTTGTCATATTTCTTCTTCAGCCTTTGTTGTTAATAATATGTCATTAGAAGATGGAAGTAGCACAAAGATCATGGAGACTGGGTATACAAATTTGATTTCATATAATGTTTGGTGTTTTTAGTTTTAAGTATGAAGCGACTTTAATGCAGAGCTACGAACTGATTATGAAAGAAACTATTTTTTTCTCAATCGGGTAAATCAAAGACCAAAAAGATCAAAGGATTTTCATAAAAATATCGGAACTCCAAATGAACTGTACTTGGATTATTCATCACTGCACTGAAGTAGATTTTCCCCAATCGCAGTGCTGGTGGTCATGACAAAAACTCCTAGTTTGTAGAAATTGTATAAAAAAATTTCATCTGAAAATAATTTTAGTTTAAACCCTAAAAAGCTCTCTTGCTCTAATACCATTTAACTTTAGCTACACTTTCAAGGAAAGTCTCATGATGCACATTAACTGAAGAAATTTCCTCTAACCCCCAACTCCTTTGCAAGGTTACATATTGATGGTGTGAGTTGAGAATCACATAACTCGGTTTGCGACATCGCAGACTTCCTGTCATACTTATTTTTTTAAACGGAAAACTACTCAACAGCAATTCTTAAAATCTGCTGTGATTTTTCTTCTCAGTGCCAAGAGAATTCTGCGAAACTTTCAAGGAGTGATATCAATTTGTTCTCCTTCAATCAAATAAAATAGATGCTGAGATTACCTAACACCGCAAACGAGATACATGGTTGCGGACTTACACTGTCGATATGTCACCATACTGTGCCCCTTGAAGGAGCCAGTCCAACTGCAGCTTCCATTAAGCTTGTCTAACCAATACCACAAAGGTGCTCTTTTCAAAATTTTCTTTCCTTTTACATAAGTTCAAGTGAAACCACTGTAGGTACTCATTTGTATTGGGCTATTTTAGAGGAGCTTTGTGGATTCTGTTCTCAGCTTATTTTTGTACTGTTTGGTTTTAATTTTGTTAATCTTTGTGTTTAGTGGAGTTCACTGCGCATACCGCTCCGGTCAACTGTTTGGCCCTGGGACACAAATCGGGGCGCGTCCTAGTCACCGGTGGAGATGACAAGAAGGTGAACCTATGGGCCGTTGGCAAGGAGAATTGTATTATGGTGAGTTCCTTTGCAATGTATCGACCTTGTGACTACAGTCAAGTGTTATATCAACTCAAACCTTGGAATATTAGATATGTTACCATCAGTTCGTCTCAACATGGCTGTTTTTGGATTTTTTTAAACTGAAATATAACGTTATTCATGGTTTTCTATGAATGATAATATCCTACTTTTAAATTTTTTTGCGAAAAAGGAGATTTCAAATTGAGCAGGCGAGGACGAAGGCTTAAAATGCAGAAGACTTTTTGTATCCTTGGATAGTATTTTGTTTCAGGTGCTGATTTTATGAATAATCATTAGTTCCTCTACCAGCATTGAGCTGTTTCTTATTTTCATTTCAGAGCTTGAGTGGACATGGAACACCAATTGAAACTGTTCGATTTAGTTCATCAGAGGACATGGTCTGTGCTGGAAGTCGTGATGGTGTGCTGAAAGTTTGGGATTTAGAAGCAGCCAAAATCGTTCGAACTTTAATAGGGCATCAAGATTGTATGAAATCTGTTGATTTTCATCCGTATGCAGAATTCTTAGCCTCTGGTTCGGTCGATTCCACAATCAAGGTAACTTCCACATTGGTCCATCAAACTATGACCATATGTTTTATCAGAATCCTCTTCTACATCATTCAAAGCACAAACTGAATGAATAAGTAATGATAATTCCCCCCCACCCCCCACGCATTCTGTGGTGCCAATCATTTTTTCACCATTAGAGTCCTAAAACTATATTTGAGGGCTAATACCCTTGAATAATTCATATCCGGAATTGCAAAAGAATAATCAAGTTTACCAAGTAAGAGTAGTAAAATTTAACCACCATTATGAAAAATTCCCCTATCAGGAATAAATAAAGCCGTCAAACAATTGAATAATAGAATAGTACAAATGATGATTTGCTTTGGATAGAAAGAAAGAATGAGAACAAATAGAATATACCAAAAGAAACTGCAAAATGTCAATTTATAAATCTGTTTACTTTCCGTCAATAATAATACTAGGACAAAGGTTTATTACTTCTGTTTACCTTGTCATTTCTTTTGTTTAGCTCTGGGACATACGAAAAAAGGGATGTATATTCACGTACAGAGGTCATATTGGGTCTGTAAATTCTGTAAAGTTTAGTCCAGATGGTCAATGGATCGCCTCTGGTGGAGAAGATAGTACTGTTAAAGTAAGTATTATTAATTATTTCTCATATTATTTTTAACATTCCTCGATTCCTTTTACATGTTAACTGCCACGCCAATCTTGAAGGACTGGCTTGTATCGAAACCATTCTTAAATCATTTATGCTAAGTGGAGAGAGCATTCTGTCATCGCGTATCTGAACCTTATGCTACATACCTGCATAGAAAGATGACGCAACCACCGCCTCAGAGCGATATCTTTCGTACTGGCAAGTTTTCGCTCCCCTCAACTTGCTGCAAATTATAAGACAAACCAAGATTGCCAACATGTTAACTGAATTCAGTCGGTCCTTATCTTCTGGTCTTTTCTTCTCTCATTTTTCATGCAGAGAAACACTGAATTGATCAATATCTTTCAATGCATACTTGATGAAACTGATGTTGCAAATGAGGGCTCTTTCACCATCATTTTAATATTTTCTGATGATTTATGAATGTAACAAATTTGAATATCCATGACGATTTGCCCAATTTGAAGCATGCATCTCAGGGGGGTCTTAAAAATTGAATTGACTTGTAGAAAACTTGCGATGTCCATTTTTTAAAACTTTTACTTTTGTTGGGCTCAATGGAATCGAAAGTTTGGAAAGTGCTCGACTGAGTGAATGCTTGAGTAATATGAAGGCACTTGAAAAGGCACTTAAAACGGGGGGAAATATACGGGTAAAAATCTTTCCAGATTTTTCTGTTTTAAATTTTAGTATTGTTACTTTGTATGAATGCCCTTTTTTTTGAAGGAAATGATTGAACACATTACTTTTTGAGAGGGAAAGTGTGTGATGTGCTCTTTTATGTGAGAAAAAGAGTGGAGGGCCCGGTTTTATGCGGACAGCAACGGAAGGCAACTTTCTGCACCTCTGAATGCCATCTTGTAGAGAGGGTGCACATGTGTCCAACTGGATTTAGCTTGTTTTGGGATTCTTGTCCGCCCTCGGGTTCAAAATCTTATTTTCAAAATACTCTGCCTTCAGCAAGGTTCGGGAGAGAAAACAGTTACTTACCTTTTCCATGACACTTAGACGTATTTTGTTTGGCGTAACAATCGAAACTGTTTCGCATCAGTGTGTAACATTCGTATTTTGTTTGAGTGTTACCGGAAATGAGGGGGCGTGGCTTATTTAATTGGATTTTTTTTTTGCACAACATGGCAACGCTGTCGTAACATTTTGATGCGAAACACTTGGAACGTGCTCCGGAGCAGGTTGCAGAATTGTTACGAGGTTTCTAACCTCACTTCTAGCTGCTTTGCTCTCATTGGTTGTGAAAAAGTGACGCAATTAACACAAAATCGGTAGCAGGAAACAATTGTTGCGGCAAACAAAATACGTCTCTTTACTCAATTACGTCAACTTTTGATTTCCTTTAAGAATGGCAATCCTAAGGCCCCCACTGTTTTTTGTGCCTCACTGAAATTTTATTTTTTGGGCTTAAGTTTTTTGACACAAACTGATCCAATGTGACATCTTTTGCAAAAACACTGGAGACAAGTATGTGGTGCTGAACTTACAAATGCGCTCTTTGTTTTGTATTTATCTTACAGATTTGGGATCTTCGCACTGGTAGTGTTCTACACGATTTCATCAAACACGATGGTCCTGTTCTGTCCGTAGAATATCATCCTCATGAGTTTTTACTTGCCTCAAGTAGTACTGATAAAACTGTCCACTTCTGGGACTTAGACAAGTTTACTTCAATTAGTGCCACAGAAAAGCAAGCGCATGCTTCCAGGTAAAATCTGCATTCCTACTTTTTTTAAGAGCTATCTGTTACATTTAACATTCAGATTGTACAGGGTGACGTCTTTGCGATGACTCAACATCAGAGTCATTCTACATCAATTGACAGTTTGACACATTTTCTATCACTACTGCGGACCTATTAGTTACTCTCAGGATGATTCAACTTCTATCTCTGTGATTCTACTTCTTCACACAGTAATCTTAAGTGACTTTATCAAAGTTAGTTGTTACCATAGCTTCAAGTTTTTTTTTTACTTTATTGAACTAACGATTCATGGCAGAACCAACCTTTTTACAACCATATCAAAAATTAAAAAAAATGTAAGCATAAATTTAAATTTATTGTTGCCAATAGTGTTACATCCTTTAAAAGTTCAACTTCATTTCATTGAAATAACAAAATATCATTAGTGAGCAACTGTTAATTTTGAATGTTGAAGTGATTTCTATGCAAGCTGAAAACATTTTCCACTAAGTGCAAAGAAAAAATGTTATATATCGTACTCATGCTCATCAGGAAAGTGCAAAATATCAAAATAATTATTCCCTTTGCAGTAACAACTAAAATTATATAAAGTTTCAAAAATAATGAGGTATTCTAAAAATGAATTTTTAATGTAAGATTCTGATCCACTTTTTTTCCATTTTTATGATCTGTTCCAGGTGTATAAGATTTAGTGAAGGAGGAGAATGCCTTTTTGCTGGTGCCTGTGATACATTAAATGTTTTTGGGTGGGAACCATTAAGAAGTCTAGACACTGTGTTCACTCAGTGGAGTAAAATTAGGGATATTAGCACTGTTGGAAGTCAGTTGGTAAGTATTTTGTTTTAAATTCGATTTTAAGAACTAACAAGGATTTTTAGTCACAAGGGTTATGCTGAAAAACGAGTTTCCCGATTGTGTATCTTCAAAACTAAAAGAGATAAATCAAACTGATAGAAATGTTTCAGTTAGATGTATTTTTAGTCTTAAATAAACTCAAAATGCTGCAAATTGGTCAGAGGATTTCTTCAAACTTCTTCCAAAAGAAAACAGGTCAAAATCAAGGAGCAATGATCATGCGTTAAAGTTTTCATAAAGTAGCAAGAAGGAGACAGAAATATTTCTGTGGTAGTTCATGTTAGTTACTTTTTTCCCCTTGTGGTAAATTGAGTTTAATGGAGATGTTTTCCTTCCAGATTGGAGCTGGTTACCAAGCAGAAGGTGTCATGATCTACGTTGTCGATCTAGCCAAAGTGTGTCCAATTGGCAAACCCTTGCCTCCTGCATCTCCGTTTGCTCATGGCATGTCTATTCGTAAAAGTTTCAACAAACAAAAGCCTGCTCCTAAATCAACTGCCGTGTAAGTAAGCCTCCTTCCTTTTAAACAGTATTTTAGCAGGTAGAGTATGTCTGAAGCTTAACTGTAACAGTTTTAGGCTTAATTCACCAATAAAGTGGATTGACAGTGAAACAGCACAAATGTGTTTTGGGGTTTGCAAAACTGCAGACTTTCTGCCATAATTTATTTTCCAAATGAAAAAATATGTACTCACAGTCTTGAAAACTCCGCATTTTCTTCACTAAGTAAGGAATGTTTAGTAAATATTTCAAGGAATAGTATTGATTAGTTCTTTGATAAAATAAAAAAGGAACAAGGGTTTTGAAATACTGCAACCGAGTTATGCATTTCTGCAGTTTCATTGTCAAAATGCAGTTTAGATGAAGAAGGAAAATGTAAGAACTCTAGACTTATGCTCTAAATCTTAAGCATACTCAGTTGATAGAGGATTTGACAGTAGACCACTGACACAAGACAGCCCGCTGGCTATCTTGTGTCAGTGAAAGTGAGAAAATCCATAAAATGTGAAACAAAGTGCTTATCAATAAGTCAGGATAGTGGAAAATCTGAGGAAAAACGCAATTCATGGATTCTGTCTTGTGCAATTTGCATTATGATACATAAACTACCTCAGCTTAGTTCTACCAATATTTTTTTATGGGTTGCAAGAAGTTATAGTCATATAGCCCAACTTAGAGGTCACTGTCATGTCTGTGTGAAAGCGGCAAACTCTTTGCATTTGTGTTTCCCTCGGTATATTTATTCCATAAAAATATCTTCAGACTCCTTAACTTTTACATTTCCTTTGTACTATTTTTTCTCTCCGCTGTACATTCATATATTTATCTATACTCTCAGGAAACATCAGAAACCTATCGAAGAAAATGAAACTGAACCAGAGGACGAAAATTTGGCCGACATTCCAGATGTTAATAACTATGAAGCTGTTTTCTGTCCTAACCGTACTTGTAAGTAATGATTTGTACTCTCTATTCTCGTATTATTGAGGTATTGTGAGTTTTCACTGCTTATTCGTCGCTTAGCTGACACAAGAGGGTAACAACATTTTAAGATGAGCCCTGGAAAGTATTGAGCTATATAAACAACAGGGTTCACGTCAAAGTTACGTCCTTATGTCAACGGAGAGCAACACATTGAGTCAGTGAGTCTAAAATGCTTGAAGCTGAAAATCAGCACTAAATAAAAAATAAGTTTTTAATTAAATTTAATTAATCACTTTGCTAAGTTAGATGGTCTCAAACAATGGTTGCTTGGGAAAAGTTGTATTTTAGGAACTGAGGGGTGATGGGGCTCTACCTGAAAGTGCAGGATAACCATTTGTGTTGTATTTTAAGTATTGAAAGAAAAAATTAAATAAATAATAGTGGCAAGACCAAGAACCGTAACAATGTGTAAAACTCTAAGTATATGACTACAAACCAACAATGTAAATTTTAACACACCCTCCACTTACCCCAAAGTCACACTAGGATCAAAGTCCAGTAGGTCCAAAGTTTACAAACATCCCTTATCTATGATTCTTGCTCTTTGTTCACCATTGCACTGGTCATTGCCATTCTTTGTATTTCCTCTCTTAAGTGAAGTTCACACCACAAATATTAGTAGTTTGGAAACCAATGCCCAGTCTACTTGTCTGACTATCTTAAATTTTGTTGTACACACTCTGAATCCAATCATTCACTGCAAAATGTCTTTTCCCTCCTTTGCAGTGAATAGAAGTCCGCCTCCAAATGAAGAATTGTTCACTCCTCCTGGAAATATAACAGGTACTAGTTAATAATATTACTTTTTTGATTTTTCAGTCTCTCCATTTAAATTATGAAAACTGATGTGTTTATTACTTTTCTTGATTTTAATGGACCACTAGACAAGGTACGAATTTAAGCATTCTGATACATGTTTTTTAACCAGAATTTCACGTAAATCATGATTCGCGCAACGAAAATTACTGAAACCAACTCCTAACGGAGATATTAACATTTGTATTTTACATTGGTCACGAGGAATTCAAACTGCCCGCTCACAAGAAACTCAAAGCTCTTCGTGAGTCAAATCACACACTGCAACGGTTTCAGCAAGCTTCTCAGTTGAGCAATGTCCATTTCCAACCATGTGTTGTTCAAACTATATGCAATTTGCTGTAGCTAAGCCATAGCGTCAAGATTGAGGTTGTCAAATTTTTATATTGCAAAGGCTGTCATGATAACGTTTAGCGCGCGATGTGAATCACGTAGAGCATTGAGTTTTCATGAGCGGGTGGTTTGAATTCACGCATCAAGAATCATTAAATATTTTCGTGAGGAGTTGATATCGGTAATTTTTGTTGAGCGCATTGTGTTTTACGTGAAATTTTGGTTAAGAAACATGTATCAGAATGCTGAAATTTGTACCTTGTATAATGGTCCATTGTTGGTTGATTACTAGCAAACAGCTCATTAGATTTTAGGAGGCTTATTTCATGAGGGAGGTCCATAATCAATCTGAAAGCTAAAAGTCACCAAAGGAGGAGTGGTGTAAAGAGCCTTTTCCGGCCGCACCTGTATTTTGCTAAATGTCCATATTTTCATAGTACTAGTTGTAGCTAGACTCTATGCTAAATATTTCACCAATCGGAGCCCACACCAAGGCACAGCAGCGCTTTCAACCAAAAATGCCAAAAGTGAAGAGTAACTTTTTTCGACAACTGTGTTGACTGTTATCACTCTTTCAAGGAATGCTTTATATGTCGTTCTTTATTACTTGCCATTCTGGCCTTTGAAGAGGTCTCTGATGAATTTAAAGAGGTTTTGTAGCTGGGTATTTCCATCTTTTCCCAATACTTATTAGTTTTTCTATAAGTTTACGCATTTAAAACTTATCTTAACCTAAAAGCCGTGTACATTTTTTAAAAGAGCTCTTAAGTTGAAATACCAGCATTTTGAAACTATTTCCAACATTGCCAAGTGATTGGTGAAAACTGTCCCAAAATTCAGAAAGTGCTAAAATTGAATAAATCGCCACTCCGAAGGCGCAAGGAAAGTAGATACAACTTTTACATTACACCTCTCATCCATCCGACAACATATAAATGGAAGATAATTATAGTTGAATTCATGAGATGTGAAAATTGTGCTAGGAGTCACACCCAGCTGCCTTTTTTAAATGTGAGGTATGTTTCTGAAAACATTTTTGTCCTCACCCATGCTCCATGAGGAGGTATTGCATTCTATTTTTTGCGTCCTTTTCATATTGGAGAGTTTTTTTTATTTTTATTTTACGCATGTCAAACTAGTCAGATGTGAAAACTTGTGCATTTTTTAAAAGAAAGTAAAAAACTGAACAAAAAATGTATGCAGACTTTTTTAGAGGTTGTCAAAATGATGGTAATAGAAGCATAAATCCATTTAGCCTTAAAAAAGAGTCTATAAGAAAATGAGTACTTTAAAGATAGAAGAATTTCCTGCCAAAAAATTGATATCACCTATCAAAAAAGCATAGGTTGCTCTTTTTATTGTTGAAATGAACAAGCTTTTGTTTCAGAACTGAATGCACCTGCACAGACCTCACTGCACTCAGGATCCCAGCTTGCTGCTGAAACTGAAGAAGAATATTATGAAGAAACAGAGCCTTCCCCCAAAGACCATGCTCCCAAATCTATCTATGTATCCAAGAATAAGCAAAGTTCAAGCTCCGAGGTTATGTCTCCTGTCTCTTCGTCTATTTGTCATACTGTATCAACTTTAACCTCAGGAATGACTCACACAGCACCAGGTCAAAATCATAGCAGCATGCCTGCCTCGCTCAACTCCCTGTCACCCACTAGTTCATCAGATCATTCCTTCAGTAGACTTGGATCAGCAAATCATGCAGACAGCTCGAAAGAAGCCCGCTCCCAGTCCTATGATGACCCTTCAAAGTACGTCTCCATATCTTTTATTGAATAACCTTTTTTTAANGGGGGGGGGGGGGGTAATTTACAGGAGTGGTCAAAGGTAATATTTTGACTTTTTCAATATTTGTTCATGATGATTTGGAATTACTTAAATTTGCTCAGAAATTAATGTCTGGCAAATAACCATTTTTTAAATGTTCTTTCTCGTAATCATTTCAAGCTAAAAGAATAATTGAGTAGGTATTTTGTAAGATTTTTTTTTTTTTGTTCGAGCATGGAGGGAGAAGGTAGGAAGACACTCCTCTTCTGTTATTCCTGCATCAGCCGTTTTAGTAAAGTCAAATACTCTCTTTTTGATTTTTTCTTGGTTCTCTGATTGAATATTGCTGTGAATTTTACCTTTAAGTATCCGAGCAAAGGAAGTAGGTTTGAGGTTTCTAGAATTGATATACATTTTTGGTAATTAATTTTTTTTTTTTTCTTTACAAAAAATAGCTGTTTTGAAAGGCTCTTATAATCCCTAATTTGGTTGAATTTTTAATTAATTTTTCCTTCCTCATATAGACAGAAGAAAATATTACTGTTGTTCAAAATCAAGATTAATGTAAATTTATTGAAACTCTCCTCTCATTTTCTGGTTCTGCTTATCCCCAACATTTTGTTTGACGACCTCTTAATACATGAGCAGTCAGAGAAACAGCACTTTAAATTTTTGAACATATTCGTCTTTTCAGTAAAAATGAATAAAAACCTCCTTAGCCCCTTTACCTCTTTACTTGATAAGTTAATTGGTCAGTAGACAAGGTATTAATCAGAACTGAACTTAATGTTCTTTTTCCTTAATTATGGTAGAAAATTTGATAATACTAGGTTTAGGACATCATACCAATGGCCATAATCGAAAACCATGCATTTCTGTCGCAAATTTTTAAAATTTCCATTCTTTTTTACTTTTTTTGGGAGAATAAAAAGCCAACTTTATAGCTCAAAATTTATACAGAATATTCTTCCAATAGAGAAGAAAAATCAAGGAAGTTTTCAAAAAATTATGTTGATTAATTTTTCAAAGTAAGTATGATTGGAAGTCTGCAATGTTGCAAACAGAGGTACATCCCTAGTTTCGTACTTTGGTCATCAATATGTCTGCCATTACATCAATGAGAAACGTATATGTTAACTTTTCGCTGAGGAGTTGATTTCCAACCTTCTTCACAAGCAAACCATTTTTACGCATTTGGAGGAGAAAATATTTATTAATGGGCTGTATTTTATTCCTTGTCCACTGGCCTTCTGTCTCTTCATTTTACCTTCCACCTAAAACTCCTATTCCCTTCACCTGATCCTTTTTTCAGAATCCTAGCACGAGCCATAAACTTTTATCCAAAAATCAGGTAAAATTTTGCCTCCCTTGATTCAATCTTCATCGTTCTCTCTTAATTCAGGTAGCCACATCGGTTTTAATTCTTTAAGTAATGATATATGTACATGAATTCCAGGTCCAAAAGATCAAAGGACAGTGTGACTTTCTGTCCAAACCTGCCCTTGTGTTAGTACTTATCATATGAAGTATGAAAATTTTATCTTTTCGCATCGATGAAGTATCTTTCAAAAAATATGATGAATGACATAATCTCTTGTTGGTGCCTATCATGATTTCTTCCACTTGGTCTTGCCAGTGATGTCTGTTAAGAATCCTGCTGAAATCTCCATACCAAGAATTATGATGGTAGGAACCTCTGCAAGCATTAAGATGGCTGATCACATTGTTTCCTGTTCACTTCAAAACCTCGAGCCTCATTGAATTGAAAGTATCAAAATGCAGAAAAATTTTAGGGACAATATCATTTTTAACCAACCTGTTTTTGGTTTTGACTATCAAACATTGCAATGTAATACTTAATCCATCATTTTATTCTTTACCCTTCCTTGTTCATTGAGCTCTCCTTTTTAATATTCATCATGATCCTTTCCTCTACTTCCAGAACAAGTGAATATAGAATTCTTTGCAGGAAAACAATAGGAAAAATAAAAAACATGCCCGGTCCCTTAAAAGCCACCACCAAACGTTTTATTGCATCTTTAAAAACTCACAGGTACCCTTTCTCCTCCTCCCCCTAGCCCACCGTTACTTTGCTGTAATACCTCCGATATATTTTATAATTCATCTCGCAACTGATTTCCATGCAATACAATGCCGGTTCTCTCATATTTTTCTCATAAGGTTTTTTGTTTTATAAAGTGTTATTATAAATTCTGTACTGTACCTCAACTCCTCCCATGTAGGGAATCAATTCAGAGTTCAGAATGAGAATTTAAGAATTCCCGAGTTTCAATTCTCTTAAACTTGCGGTTTTTTGCGATCAAATCCAATGGGATAAAAAATTCAAGGTTGGCGCAGCTCTAGTTTCTAGGGAGACTTAGAAGTGTCCTTTAACTACTCCCGGATGTTAGTTTAAATGTATCACACCTTTTCTCCCTTTCCCTTTTCCCGACGAAGTTCACTTGTACTATTCGGTTTCACTGCCACAAAGTGTAATCGTGTTTTTAAATATTTGCAGGGTATGCAATTTTGAAAGCAGTCCCAGTGAGCCAGCGATTAGTAACTCAGCAAGAAAAGTAGGAAATGGGATTGGAGTCAAAGTATCCAATAATCACAAACCTGAATTACCACCAAAACCGAAGTATCAACTCTCTGTGAAACAACATCAAAGTAAGGTTTTTAAATTATTTATTTTTTATGTTGGTAGTCTACTTTTTTAAATGACCCTGAATTTGATATTCTGTCTCCACGGACAAAGCTTCAACATCTGCTCTTGAAATCTTTGGTCATTGCTTACTTATTTCATACTTTAATGCTCGAAGTCTTCTCAGGTCCTGTTTTGCGTTAAAACTTTGCTTAAAAAAGTCTGAAGAAAACAGCAGGAAAAAAATAAGTAATATTATCAATTTTCCATTTTTTTAAATGATTTAGAGCTGTATGCTATTTGTTTTAAACCCTGCAAATTTTTAACTGAAACTAACAAACACAATTTAACATGATTGTTCTGGAATTGATCTTTCTTGTAGAGTTAAAATGAATTCATTTAAAGAATTATTTTTATTTATTCCTCTCAGAAATCATTCATTTTTTAATCACTCAGAAATAGCTTTTAAAAAATCCTGTATTTTTCGAGGAAGTTCTCTAAAAAATGTCTGTGATTTTGGTTACAGATAATGCCAAGAATATCATGATGAAACCTGGGAAAAGGCCTGGAGCTGGCGAAGACGATAATATTGAATACATTCCAATGACAGGAGATACACCCGTTGGCTTGGAGCCCAATGAGTTTTTACCGGTATCTATTTCTTTTTTCATCTATTCTCCTTTTATTTTAAGTATGAAAATATGCTCTGTTCCAATTAAAAATAGCTAAATCATTACAAATTTCATGATAACATCGGAGAGGCCCAACCTCAATAAAATTTGAAAACTAAAACAATTGACTTTTTTCTTTAATTAATCTTAATGTATCCCTGAAATTTCAGAAAAACACAGCTATTGTAAAACTAAGAGATGCTATTAGAAGCTCATTTGAAGTGTATGTCGTTAATGCGGCAATAGCAGACTCGAACTGAATAATGAGAAAGTTCATTTTTGTAACATTACATACTTTATGCGACAATAAAGTTCAATATTTGCCAGTATGAGTACCATAATTAATGAATCAGTCGGCCTGGGTAGGATTTTGCCTGCAAATAGTTGACTTTAGTATAAGAAAAATTGATCAAGAACACACAGCAACGCCACTTTGTATTTTCCACTGTAGATTCCAATGGATCGTATTTGATCCATCAAACAGGTGAGATTGTATGGATATCGATTGGTTAAACATGTAAACAAAACCTCAAAAGTCAAGTGAGTGATCTAAGGGAACGGGTTTCTTGAAATAGATTTGTGATTCTTGTGAGTATAAAATGACAATGAGAAGTGAAGTTGTCAGGAATTTTCTCATTTTCAGATTTTACTTCTCAAATCCTAAAATTCTTGTTTGAGGTTATGTCATGTCCTGTTGTTTTGAACCAAACGATACATCAAACCACAATCAAATACGATCTAGCGCAATTTTGATCATGGCGCGTGAATTCAAAAACAATGAGCTGGCATTTGAAACTCCGTTTTGTGCTTTACTTTCCAGTGAACTTTTCTCCCTGTCGCCATCATAGGAAAAATTTCGGAAAAAAACTATAAGCTAAGTTGACTTTATAATTTCTAATGAAAAAATAAGATGAGTCAACTTACCCACTACACATATTTGCCATATATTACTGTCCAATTTTATGGTTTTCTCTTTTCTCTTTGCAGAAAAGGGGTAGCGGAGGCCAGTTATCTGAGGCTGAAGTCATAAGCAGTGTTATGAGGGGCCATGAAGATATGATGCGCGTATTAATCAGTAGACAACGGAATCTTCAAATTATTTTTTCAGTATGGCACACCAAGGATTTAAAGGTATTTTTAAAACATTTTCTATCCTAATTGCCTAACTTGAAGTTTTTCTACTAATTCCTTCAAGGTTTTGAGCTAAAGTTCCTTGATTACCGTCAGTTAGCTCTCGCCTGCATAATGGAAGAGTGTATGCAAAAAAATTGTAGGCTCACACCTCCAAAAAAAACTTACGTTTTATTTTTGATGTAGTCCTAGTGATCTCCATCCTCAATATGTAAACTTTTATCAAGATACCTGGTTTGTCTTGTGATTAAGATGTAGATTAAAATGATAACGTACTTTCAACTTTTCATGATCCAATTTTATGTTTTACGGCCTGATAAAATACAAAATTATCATGACAAATTTCAAGAATTTCTTCAATTGTTTTGAATTTAGCACTAATGTTTCAAAATGGTGGGGAGACCTTAAAGTGAAATTTCTGAAACAAACTTAACTACATTTTTTTCGAATTGTTCTCCCTGATTCCTTGTTCAAAACTTCGCTGCAATTTTTTTTAATTTTTCCATTTTCTATCTATTTTAGTCAGCGGTAGAGATGGCAACCGACATGAATGATCTTTCTGTAGTAGTTGATTTACTGTCAGCCCTCACCCGCAAACCGTAAGTAACTTTCATCAATATATTTGGAAGTGTCTGTGTTTTTGTGTTAATATTTTCCTCCTCATGTAGGAATCCATATCCAATTTGCAACTGCTCCTCCCTCAAAGCATTTTAAAAGTGTCAATATTTGCAAGATTGTATTATCAAAATTAGGAATTTTATATTCCATGCAATCGTCACACATTTTTCAAAACCAATTCATTCATCAACGGAAATTAGGATTAAGAATCAAAGCAAGTTGAGTGGCACTCAGGCAATGCAAATTTTTTTGCAAACAATATGTAATTTTTTTCAACTTAATTTTTTAAGTCCTTTTTTTTCTAAAATTCTTTTCACATGAAGGTACTAGTTTACTGCATCAATATCATAGTTGGAAGATACTTTGATTTTCATCCAAGGAATGATTATCAAATTTAATGTTCCATTAAGTGACAAGTAGTCACTATTTTATCTATTTTCATCCAATGCAGAGTTTAGTTTTCACCATGATAAAATTTGTCGTTACAGAAATCTTTGGAGTTTAGATCTTTGCAACCTTTTGCTACCGAGCATTCGTGAACTGCTTCAAAGTAAATATGAAACGTAAGTACTTAAATTCATCAGTTCAAACATAAAGTATCCTCAAAATTCGTATATGAGTATATGAGAATGTAAAAAGTACATAGTCAATTTGTGTGAAATCAATTTGATTTCACTGATACCACTGAAAATTTTCCATACTGTCTGCATGACCTAACAATATTTGTTAGTAGTTACAAAAAATCATGGAATTTAGAAAGACCAATGTTGAAAGGTTTTGTTCATAAATTGGCAGCTAACATTTTGGTTTTCATTAGTTGATCTCATGTTTAAGGTGCTTATACATTTTTCAACCAGTAATTTTGAAAAGGGTGGAAGTCCAATTTTTCAAACTCGTTTTTCTTTTGCATTTTTGACGCTCATTTTATGAGACATTCACGTTCCTGTGAGTCTGTCGCCAGCGTTTTAAGAAGCAGATTACCGCTACTTTCTCGGGTAATATAGTAAGGACAACCAAAGAGTTCACAAAATAAAATAGAAGATTTTGATAAATGGACCTCCACCCTTTTTAAAAGCACTGATTCTGTTATTCGCACAGTTTGACCAACTATTTTCCCATTGTGTTGATTAAGTGGAAACCCAGGGAAAACTGCATCTGAAAGGGCACAGCAGACATTTAATTCAACATGACTTTTTTTTAAAAGATTATTTCCGTCTCATATCGAATGGCCTGCATTATTGTTTAAAATAGTGTATTTCCTTCGGAAAATACACTAAAAATTCTCAAAAAATGCCTATTACCTTTTCCAGTTATGTTACTGTTGGCTGTGATGCTCTTAGACTGATCTTGCGAAATTTTTCTTCTGTCATTCGAAATAATGTGCAGTGGAGCTGTCCGACTATTGGAGTGGACATAACAAAAGAAGAAAGGTAAGACCACTTGATAAAATTAGGTGTCTTCTTTGATTTCTTGATGAGCTTATTATGAAACATCGTCTGAGAGGAACACATTTGACTCCTGTCAAGTGATAACGCGGAACGCGTACCAGTCAGTGAAGCAGTGAAGGAAAAAAGATTTGCTCGTCTTGTCTCTTATGACCACTTATGCAATGATAGTAGATTCTAAAAGTTAGATTCTGCTGACTGGTAGAATCCGCAGAATGAGAAAAAATTTGCTGTCCTGAATTCCCAAAATTCTGGATTGGAGGGAAAATTCCTTGTTTTTTCCTTAGAATTACATAGCTCATCTAATTATTTTTCATTATATCCTCCCTCTCCTCTGTCCTCTTACACCTCCCTTTGATTTGACTGTTCAACGATGAAGCGTATTCTGTGCTATAGTGACTCAGCATCTGCTACTGCAATTTGTATCCAGAGGAATACAAGGTCAGTCAATGTGATGCTTGTATTGGAACGATATCAGTGTTGACTGTCCCTGCACCAATCGGAGTTTAGCAGATGACTGTACAGTGTACAAGAAAAGAGTGAAGCGTTAATTTTGCCCTCAACTGAGCCACTCGCAATTCTTGACTTCAGAAGTGTGTAAACTGAAAATGAAATGAAAAAACACTCATTTAAACTGAGGAAACTCACTAACTTCTAAAACTAACAAACTGTTAGCCCTGAAGTTTTAAACTTTAAGTCTCTGTGGGTAATGCCTCCTTGAGTTGTAAGAGGTGCACAGGTCTTCTTGAATTGTCCCTTTTATAAAGGCTGTATTTGGACATTCCTTTTCTTTTAAACTCAAAGTTATACCCTGTCGGAGTGGAAATGTGGTTTTAGGGGAAAAACTAAACTGATTACTTCTATTTGTTTTCAGGTATAATAAATGTAAAGGATGTCACAATCAATTAGTATCGATACGAGCTTTCCTGTTGAAGCGGCAAACGGTGCAAGGAAAGTTAGGTCAAATGTTCCGAGAACTGGTTATCTTATTGGAAGCAATCGATGCTACTTAGCAGTTGCTAAAGGCTTCCTTTCTGTCTCATCTTTTATCATTTGTAAATATCGTTTTAAATTCTGAAACTTATCTAATTGAGCCATATTCAAACTTAAACATTTCTCTAATCCCTAACGTGTCACTTCATTCATAAGAATGAACTAAGTATTTGTACTAATTTATTCAACATCAACAAAACACTTGGTATTAACAAAGCTCACCTATGCCACTTGTGCCTGAATCAGTATTAAGTAGTTTTTCAGTCTATGCGTGAGGTTTTTTCGCGCATGTATATGAATCTTCACCTTATGCACATTTCCTTAAGTATGTATTTTTATCTTCTTTCCTCACGTAACTTAGAGTCTCTATAGTCTATCTATTTATTTTTAAATAATGTCTGCCCTGAAATACTTTTAAAATTGCCTAGTGGAATTCCAAGTTTTACAATCCATTCTTTTGTTATTTTTGTGGAACGTGTTAACTTTTTAATACATGTTAAATTATTACAGTTAACAGCTCTTGTTGTTTTGATTTTTTGCGGAGAGTTCCAACTTTCTCAAAATGTTCTTCTCACCCAATGCCCCAATATTAGCCTGTCTCATTCATTCGTGGAAATGCTCTCTGGCTTTCATGTATGCTTTAACTTGCTGGAAAGAGAAAAACCTAGAGTGACCATCTTCTTCACAGTTGAAATTTGGAATGCCTAAAATCTATTTAAAAGTCTCATAGCTAGATTTTCTGCATAATATACTTTACTTACTAAAAAGTTAAAGGATTGAAAAGATACTTCAGATTGCATAAAATGTACAAATGTATTTATCACACTCATAAAATTATTATTTAACAAAAAAATCTAAAATCATCTTGGAAGATGGAAGATCAAACTTAAATAAACAGTGTTCAACTTAATACAAAAAATAGTTAAAATCATAGGAAATGAGATAAAAAATCAGATGGGACCAAAAAACACATCAAATACTATGTACAATTAAATTGGAGAAATGGGAACAGAGCTGGTGAGGAACACATTATCAGTTATCCTTTTTTTCCGATAGTAGTCCATTGTGCAATTTAACAACTTCATTTTCGACGAGATCATCCAAAACCGTGCCATTTTCATCTATAAAACAAGCGACTGACTTGTTGAATGAAGCTTCCCTCACAGAACCTGTTTTCTTATCTGTACAGGCGAGAACTAGTGTGTAGATGTCATCATACCTGAAACAATTTTCAATTCATTTTCAAGATTAAAAATTAACAAATATTTTAAAAGAAATACTGTAGGGGAAGAATTTTGTCATAACGGAGTGACAAGTCCTTGAAAAGTCAGGAAGTTAGAGAATTTTGTCCGACCCTGAAAAGTCGGAGAATTATGCTGGAGAGCCTGGAAATTTTCTTCCAGCCAAAACATTGAACTTTATCATTTCGAGAGACTTTGCACTCCACAGTTTTATAAAAATAATTTTTGAGTGTATTATTGGCAAAAATTACCAAGAGCAGACAATAGATTTTTCAGAAGTTTTTACAAATTGAAAAAAATTCAAATTTCACTTCTCATGTTTTTGAAATTGAAGAATTTAGCCTTGTTTCACTTTTTTATGGAATCTTTGTTCGTTTTTCAATATGAGTGACAAATATACAATATTCGGTTCTGTTACCAGTATATCAATGGCTAAGGACTTGGGACGATATGTCCTTTTTATCTGCAAACTGACGATTTTATCGCCATTTTTGTAATTTTCAGGTCAGGTTTGGAATTTTCTTTACTGATAACAGTGCTCCTGAGCGGAATTGGAAAAAATTGAAAACATCAACTTGCATATTTTATATTGTAGAATGCGGCAAAGTTGCAGATTCATTTTTGCCAAAAGTTTTTAGTTAAGCTGTGTTGTTCCGTAGCCTTTCGATTTTTGAATTGATATTGATATTCTCGAGGCACTTACTTTTTCAGAATGGAGCCAGCTTCCCACCTTATGCCTTGATTCTTGGGAGCACAGACAATGAAGGTTCCTTTTTCGACATAGGTTGTGTACAGTGTAAGAACACCCATCAAAAAGAAATATGTGGTAACGCTGAATATTAATACTGGCCTGCAAGAGGGAAAAACAATTTTTTATTAGTGACGGAGAGGACTTGGATAAGATGATCTGTCACTTCCATTTCACTTTTGATTTAAGTAAATCAGCTAATGTTATTATCAAGTTCAAAGGTCACAGCTCTGACAGGCATATTCTTCATACCAACATGACCTAAGAGTTTCCAAGTTTTCTTTTTATCAGGCCTGCCACATCCCATCTTGGGCCTAGTACTAGTTTTAGGGTCCGGGCTCCAACGGGTTACATGTGAATTTGAAGTAGTGTGTCACTGGCCCTGGTGCCAGGGATCCAGTATTGGGGGGGGGGGGGAGGGGGGTGTCTTGAGGCGGGCCTGCTTTTTATGTTTCATTAATTTCACAATTCTGCTTGATATTTTGCAAACAGTTATCTATCTGGCCTAACGCTTGGGTTGCCATTGGACTCAGAACGCAGCTTTGAAATGAAAGAGTGAATTCCCAAACAAAAATATGTGACCCGATAAATTGCACTGACAATGAGTGTCACCATGGAATTTTAGTAAATACTTTTGTTGATTATTAAGATGTTGACTTTCAAAATGCATGGCATCTAAATATTTAGCAGTGAATAAGTTAACCTGCCGTATTTTAATTATTTCAGGAGGATATTCTCCTAAAATTTGATGGCTAAAGCTCACTCTGTGTACAGCATCTATTCTTTACTTGTGGAGGAAACAAGGACAATCCGGAAAAAATTCAGATTATGCAATCTTAAAAAATATTCCAAAGGTGACTTACTTGGATTCAGGGAATGGATAAAAATATAGATCCCAAACTATTGCAAAGAGAGCAACCGCTACAGCAAGACCACATATTAGGAGACGGCCATCGACTAATTTGTAATTTTCAATATATGAAAATTTGCTTGTTAAGACCTGAAATCAATAAGTGATAAACTTTTAATAAAAACAGAAAAGAACTCATAATTAGGAAACAAGGATGACGAAACTACAAAAATGTAAATACTGCTCTACCAATTCTAAAATTCCTGCGGCTACTATTATCATGAAACCGTATTCCTCAACATTTTTAAATGTTTTTCAGTGAATATTCTAAAAGGAGCCAGAAAAATCATATTTTATGTGATTTTGAGCAATCTTAATGATCAATTATCCTTCAAAGAGAAAACTTGACAAGAAATCTGCAGCATATTAAACTGAGATACTTGAAAAATAATGCTTCTACTTATTCTGAAAGGCACAATTTACATCAACCAAAAGACATAAGCATCAAGCTGAGATTTATTTATAAGTTTTTTTTTTTCTTTAGCTAAACGTATGACAAGGATTGAAAGGATATTGATGAGAATCAAGAGTCTGTACGACCATTAATGTTTGCGGTATCTGAATCTGGAATTTGAAATTGGCACTGAACATGTTCCAATGTAGAGAAATGAGCAGAAATGTATATTCCTTTGAAAAATGATAGCACACTTTCAGGGTATGGAGCAAGAGATTAGAAAAAGTCAATTGCCTTATCTGTAAAAGGTTACTTAGATTTCGACCCTTAATGGCGCTGATCTTGCATTCAGAAAATTCAAAAATTATCCCACTATTACAACAATAGTCCACACATGGAATAGAAGTGATTCTACCAACATTTTATATTCGCTGGTAAGTGCATAAGAAATATATTGATTAATGGCCATACCTCAGCTACTGCATCATCCAGGGCATTTTTCACAGCTGAACCATCCCATTTGTTGATCTTCACTGGTTCCGACTGAAATTACAAAAATTTTACTTTAAAAACGCACTGAATTATTATTTTTACACTGACGGTTGAAAAATGAAGGAATAGTGGATAGTCTGTTTAGTTTACCTGCCTGCAGCCTGATCGTTGATATTTTGTGTTTGTTGGGTAGACATAGATGACACAGATTAAAAGGCGGAGCGTGATTAGTCGGCTATGTCTCATTGTTACTTTATCGTGCCTTTGTCAGGTGGAATGGTCGACATACTGTCAGAAACTTAAGATGTGCCTTTGGCTTGTCGTGAGTTCCACCCGACAAAGGCACGATGAAGCAGCGATAAGACACAGCTGACCAATCATGCTTCGCCTTTTAACCTATGTCAGCTATGTCTACCCAACAAACATAAAATTGCAACAATCAGGCTGCAGGCAGGGCTACCTTAGATTCAATTCTTTGTCTGTTTCGTAGTGTTTACTATACTCCATCTGCAGCCCTCCACACGAGCAGCATTGCTTACAGAAGGATCTTGCTAGTTTAAATATGTCTCTTTTTGTAATAAAAAAAAGAAGTGGTCCATTAGAGATCAAGGGTTGACTACGTTCATGTTCGGGGGGCAGTCAATCCTGGAGCCCGTGTCCCACAATCAAATGAACTCATCAAATACAAGATGGCAGAGATACATACTGGTCTTTCGCACAAGTCCGCACGGGTTCTATTCATTAACATTTGATGGCCCCCCCAACTTTTGATTGCGCGGAAACCAGTTCGCATCTCCGCCATCTTGCATTTGATGAGTTTATTTGATCAAGGGACACAGGCTTTCATCAATATGGGACAATAACATCACGATCGCTTGCAAGAGGAATGTAAACAAGTGCCAACTTAGCTAATGACACCTCTACCACTTTTGTAGATTTTCTTAATGTTTAAGGATAAAAATTCTTCAATGGCCCGTTGGCAGAAGGAGTCGATTTTCCATTGCCCATTCCAAGGAATGGGCAATCACACAATTGACGAGAGACAGATACACCCTCACTTGATATAACTGCCTATGGAATCACATTAATCTCCATCTACAGATTAAGATCCTATAATAACTAATGGCTCAGCATTAAGAATAAGTAATATGGTTCATGGTGACTGAAAATCAGCGCCAATGATGCAGAAATATTAAATTACTTTAAGTCAAGGGCATTACGCCCATTTGGCAGACCCATAGAGTACAATAGTGTCGTAATGTTCTGGAGCGCCGATGAGGTCACTTTAAAAGGCTATTTTGTCCAGTACTCCTGAGACTAGTGTGCGGCGACTGGCAATGCCGTATGCGCGGGGTCCCACCTTCGGTCTTCCCTCAGAAGATACAGGTATGAAATTTATTTCATAAAAGCCAGGAGTGTTGTTCATTTTTTAATTTGTTATGACTTCGGTGAACACAATTCGCCAAAATTCGTGGAGATAATGATTGATTTAAATTAATAAACCCCAAAAACCACTTGCAGCCCACAATTCTCTCATAAGCTGCGTTGTTAAAAAATGCCGAAAGGTTCCCACTTCCCAAAGAACAAGGGGCTCGGAATGGCCCGTTCATGGATTGACTTCATCAGCATGCGAGCAGACTTTGGCATGTCGCAGATTACTGGAATTTTATGGTAGAAATTCAACATTCCCGTACAATGAGAGAAGTGCATTACTATGAGTACTGCAGTACTTATGTGACTGTGAAATTTCAGAAGCCATGGATATTGAGGAAGCTGTTGATAATTAGACCATGGAGTGAATGACATGTTGAACAGTTTGGTGATAACACGAAATGAAACCTTATGCCATAAAATAAAAGGGTACAATACCTTACTATCACTAGATTTTGTCATTCTAGACGAATTAACGTACACTACTTCCAAATATTACGCTGAAACAACGTGAGGCAACGTAAATTAAAAAATTAAATGGGAAAACTGCAAAGCATACGTGGATAAAATTCAAGAAAACCGCAAATACCAAATACAGACACCCGCTTGCTTTGAAGAAGAAGAAGAAATCGAAGCCCTGCCGGGTTGATTGTTGAATCGTTATCGAATGAGTTTGATCGATAGCTCCCTATCTTCACAATGCAATCTATCGATCGATCAGGGTCGTTCGATAACGATTCAACAATCGAGGCTGCAGCTCGTAGGGGCTCTTTGCCTGCAAAAACGCTCAATCCTGAATGCCATCAAGACCAATTTACACAGTCCCGACGACGAGTTTTGGAACTCTACTGCGCAATGACGTATTGTTGGCTACCTGCAATGTATTTCTTATGGGAGCAATCAATGTGACGTCAGATTGGCTGTCGTCGAGTTATGGCCGGGCGGGGGTGGATTTTAAAAAGATGCGCGATGACTGACCTGTGAACATTGCCGGATTGGTCTTGAATTGAAAATTGAATGCCATTTTGTATCGTAGGACGTAGGCTTCCTTTCGTTACGGAAAATATTTTCGAGTTTTAGTAATGTTCACTTTTCTTTTTTCTCATGTAATTTTAGTCTAATTTATTTAGCGGACTCGTGAGTGATTAATCGACAAACAACGAAGAATATTCTTGTGATAATGCCTCGATGTGTGTACACAAACCTCAGTCTATCTTGTGATGACGCGAAAATAGCCTGAGATGATTCTGACATTTCTCTGAGTTAACTGTGGTATTTCCGTGACAGGGGTACTTTCCCTAACACTGTCGTGTACTCGGCCAGAAGGTAAATGCTTTATTCAGTTACTATTCACTCTATCTACTCAGTAATTTCAGTTTCTTTTAAGGACTCGCCACTCAAGGTAGCCACTTCCCAGTGACCTGTTTGGATGCGGGTCTAGTCATGGCCCTTTTCTACCACTTTAAAGCATCTGTGAATTGTTGAGGTTGGCTCAGTCCTGATTAGAATGCAACATTGATCATTTTACGGTCTTGTTGACTGCGCTGAGGTAGTGGCTTGGAGGATCGCATCCATTCAGATCATGTAGTTAACTTGAAATGACCTTAACCTCACTATGCCTTTTTTTTCATGAAAGAGCAAGTGTATGCAACTTTCATGTCTAATACGGCGCATTAGAGCTGGCTCATCCTATTTTGTGGCTAAAGTCAATCCCTGATTAACTCCAAATCAGCACCACCGAACACCTCACTACGTCCACTCAGATGGCACCATTGATGAGGCGTGAAGTGGAAAAGACCTGACAGATGTCCTGACATACAATGAGTGAGCTCTACACCCAAGATGTAAATTGACACAGACGAGTTGCCTTGCTGTGTAACTGTAAATGGCTTCTATCATAGAGCGCAGTTCCCTGTACATATGAAGAAAATAAAGAGAGAAACCTGTCATTAAATGTCTATCAAATAGAGTTTAGACTGGAACAATTACTGTGTCCAGCGTTAAATTAAAAAAAATAGAAGAATCATAGTGTCAGATCCCCTATCTCCCTCAATAAGTGTTCTACCTCATTTGGCGTCGACTTGACAGAAATAGGTGCTTGATATAGGAAGTCACTTTGTTTTATTTGTACAACTGTGTCATCTGATGGTGGCCATTTTGGGTTTGGTTTAAAGTTATCATAAGAGGGTAACTCACCCTTACTGTTTATCGTCTTGGTAGTATTTTACTTTCTGAAATGAGAAGCTTCACAATGGCCAATTTCTTACGCCTCTTATGAGTCCATAAGTGAACTCCTTACTTTTGAACGACATTTGCCCATAAGTTCATTGTGCTGTTTGATTCTCCTTTAGAAGAGAAATCCAAATTGCAAGAAGCGATCAGTTTATAGCTTGGTTGTTCAATGAGAACTAATTAATGCACAAAATTCCGGAATGACTACATGCTGCTTGATCTATGTTGTTCATCTCATGGGGCATTTTGACCCGCAACAATTATCAAATCTCTTTGCCAAATCTCGTTGCCATCTCAACAAATGTCATTGCAATCTATCACTCGATCTGTGATATAGGAGCTGAAATTTGAATTACAGTGATGCTAAGTGTCATAAATTAGAGAAGTGCTCATTGTAATAAATATGTCGTCTTTTATTAACGTTTATAATCAGCCTTCAAATTTACTGGCTGGAAAATCAGTGGTTTATGAGTGGCAGTAGCAACAAATCCTCCATTGAATCAGTCATTTACTATAGGACTTTAGCACCAAAAAATGGAAGAATGAGTTATGGACGGATTATTATTGCTCAGACATGGATTCAGCTTGTTGCAAAGCATCAAACGAAAAGTTGTATTTTAGGGCCGAAAAAAACCATCTGATAAATCCGTTCATTTACAATAAGGCTCAAGTTCCAAGCGCCTGAGTTACGTGCCGGCGAATACCTGTGCGGCAGGATCACGGGTGCAGCAGGGCAGCTACCTGCTGTGCGGTGCACCAGGGCCGCTTATCTTGATTTGGTACGCGTTTACGCAGTTTCTTCAACCCATCAAAGGAGGAGGGGCGGCTGTATTTATTGTTCCATACTTAGATGTTTTTGTACTCTCATTTTAATAAGTTTCTGCATTTAAAGGCAATTGGTGTAGTGATCTTATATTACAAATAATGTCCTGTGTCAAACCTCTATGAGAGGATGCCTCCTTTCTGGGTAGCAAAGAAAGATTTCTGAGGTATATTTGTTGGGAGGGTACGATGGTCTCCTTTCCCATACAATATACCTATTTATGATAAACCGGTTTGCAAAAAGAAATTCAGGTTTTCCGTGATGACCCTTCCTCTTGCAGCACATTGACGGTGAAACGGTGGCATAGGGTTATAATAGAAGGCAAACTCCTTGAAGGCACCATTAGCATACTAAGTATAATTACAACGTTATGCACCGAAAGTGTTAATGATGCTTTCCTTATACATCGTGATCCAGAATAATGCAAAAGTGGCTTTAAACTGGGGGAAAACGTGGAAATTTCTCCGTCCATTTACAAAAGGGCTCAAGCACCACTTTGTTTTTTTCTTCTGACTCGGCTCAAATTACATGACATTTTTGAAACAACTAAGTATATTCACGCCTTCTTTACACTTGAGAATTTTTCCGAACTCAAAGATTCTGAACGGGTCTGATTAACCACTTTTTACTGTTTTTCTTGAATTCTCATTTTTTTCGCTTGAGCCCTTTTATAACTGACTGATTCAATTGTTTTTTGCATGCACAGACCAAAGATCACTCAAACCAACATGATTTCCGCTACATTTCATTGTCATAGCGTTTTTGGCCAGATGAATACCTACTTTCACCCATATTCTATGGTTTTAAAGTGAAAATGTATCTCTTACATTTAAGTAGTATCACATCAATTAAACTATCAATTATTACATTTATTTATTATTTTTCTCCGCAAATTTTCATAAAATGTCTGAAATTTTCAATAGGAAGTAGATTAATCGATCAGTCTCCTCAAATTTCACCATTTCAAATGTATCAATTTGCTGTATCTACCAAATTAAATTTCAAGGTTCAACATGCATTCCGCTGTTTGTCCAATTCGAAAATAGCGCAATCATTTCTGTTACAAGCATTATAAAGTGCTTCAACTCCTAGCATTCCAGCTCGTTTGATAGTTTGAAGTTTCGAGGTTTGATAGATTAAAATCTATTAGCACCTTAAAAGCTTTGTTTCTCATTGAGATGATTTCTGTGCATCGCCAAATCCATTCGGGGAGGACCAAAAATGTTTTCACTGGCTGGGACCTCCCCCATGGCATTTTCCGGATCAGTTCCTGATAAACCTTCAAAGAGGTTTGTTCGAATTTTATCATGAATACATTGTTATACAGATTTTTTAAGATTTTGTCGGGTCCCTCCTCCCAACCAAATCATTTTATTTGAAAAGCCACTGAAAATTTTTTTTCTTGAGACATTATTTTGGCTTAAAGTGTCGATTCTTGGCGACAAATTTTTTTTTTTTTTTATCTAGTTAAATCCGTGCGGACTTGAATTCAGTTTTTTAGTCAGGTAATGGACAGTTTTTTTGCTATCGTCTTAACAATAACAAAACGACGCTTTTTTAAGTTTAAAAGTAAAAAAAAAAAAAAAAAAAAACAATAGTGTATTTCCTTCNAAAAAAAAAAAAAAAAAAAAAAAAAAAAAAAAAAAAAAAAAAAAAAATTGTCGACAAGTAACGACGCTTTAAGTCAAATTAATATGTAAAGAAATTATTTTTCCAGTGAGTGCATCGTTCTAATAAGGAATAATATCAGCAAAAAATGATTAAACTGAATTTATCCAAAAAAAATTTAGTGAACGGAAAATTTGTGAACGGACGAAAAATTAACATGTCCACGAAATGGAGAAGACTATGAACGCTTTTCGGCGGACTCAGAGACTCTAACTAGACACCATGATCGTTGACATCATGCAACGTTACCATCAGTTCGTGTAACTAAACTTAAGAGGTTAAGAACTGATAAAAGAATTTCGGTTACACGAACCGAACGACCGTTTACACGAATCAAAAAATCGGTTCCGTACTTAAGAGTGAATGATCGAGGGTCTGATGTGTACAAAAACTTATGACATGGATGTTGATATATTGTAAACAGGGAAGCCTTAATTTCTTCATCTTCAAATATCCTGACTTTTTTGCATTACCCGGACTCAAAAATTTTCGAATTCCCCGATCTTTCCTGACCTTCAAACATTTTTTTACGCATTTACATTTCAAAAATACGCCGACTTACCCATATGAAACTGAAAATAAGGAAAAACGAAACGAAACAGACGGGAACCCAAGGTAACAAACTGAGCTAATAAATGAAATAAAGAAAACGGGAATTAAAAACTCAAACTCACAAAAAATCGAATTGAAACCGCCGACGCGTTTAAGGGCTTTCCGGCCTCTTCTTGAAGGTCAGCTGGAATTCAGCCCTGAAAAAGGGGCCGGAAAGCTCCAAAAACGCGTCGGCGATTTTATATTCATTTTTTTTGTGAATCTGAGCTATTTATTTCCTGTTTCCTTAATTTCTTTGAAGTTAACTTTCTGGGCAAAATTTACTTACCTGTTAAGAGATCAAAACCTGGAAACAGGCATTCAATGGCTGGTTAAAAGACAACAAGCCTTAAAAATGATCAGATAGGGTAAACAACACTGGCAGATCAGTGATATGTTTCGGTGATTATTAGATGTGTCAAAAATTCCCCGCCTTTCTAGACCGCCAGCAATTCTAGTGAAAACTAGTGCTAAAGAGTCTCGCGTATCGCCCCATCCAACTTTTCTGCGATTTCTGAGTCAGTTGAAAAAAGTTTACGTTCTCCCTCATTTCGTGGATATGCAAATTTACCCACTTGGAAGTCGAAGTAGTTGTATCACGCGTTTCGCCTCAGGCAACTTTTCTTCTCAACGTTAAAATCTCCGAGTCTGCGGAAAAGAGACCAAGCTCTTTTTCATTGTTGTGGATATACGAGAAAGTTCTGTTGCTTCATATTGAAGCTCTTCTATGTGTGGAGGATTTGTAATATAAGTACTTTTTCTTGCGTAAATTTTTTCGAGAAACACGATGAAGCCACTGGTTTTCTCTGAATCAAACTCCGAAGCTTAAAAACAGCTCTCAAAGGTGAGGCCGTAATGGAGGAGGCATACCACGCTATCCCAAAAGTCCACACAGGTCTACATCCAGTCAAACTCTCCATGCAAAGACAGAGAGCCAATGCATTAGCAGAGTTGCTGTGTTTCCAGTTTTGGGGTCCCCAAACAAAGTGGCAACCCTGCTAATGTATTTGCT